ATTGACGTAGTCTCTCCAAGCTGTTCGATAGTTAGCATTCGTATTGCTTTCAGTCCATTCAACACAGGCTTACCATTCAAATCAGGCAATGTGACCTTGTATGTATGTTGCGCACGCTCTCGAACAAGGTCCTCGGGGCTAGGCCAGGCGTCTCGACTCTGGGAGTATCCAGTGGGGGCCTGGTACGTGCCCTCTGCGAGATCCAAATCGAAGCCACTGATGTCGTATCCAAGCTCCTCCCACGATCTAAACATGCCCTCGATTTCGTTTTGGTTCAATGGCTTGGGCGCATGGCCCTGGCGTCCGCGTTCCTCGTCTTTGGGAAGAAGAACCATAATATTCTTGCCCTTCCACGGGATCTTCTTCTTCACCCGAGGCGTCATGCTGGGCTCTTTGATCGTCACTCTTGCAGATGCACTCCTCATCGGTGTGCTTGGCGTCCTCGCAATGTTGCCGACAGCGGCACTCGCGCTCCGTCTGGGCGTTGTGGGGATGGGTGGGAGGTCTGGCAGGTCGCGGGCCAAGTCGGCCTTTGAAAGATCGGGGCTCTCCATTTTCGCGTTTGTGGTCTCGTCTCGAGGCTTCACGTCCTCTTGCTTGAGCGTCTCGACGCTGGATCGGGTTCGAGGATAGCGAGGTTCCGTGAGCGATGCGCGCGTTAAGCGTGGTCGGGCTCTCGGGGTTCGCAGAGATTCCTTATCGTGCCAAACAGCTTCGTCGCCAGATCCTGAGCCGCTCAGTGAAGAGTGCTCGCTTCCGTCGCTGAACCAATGTCGACTCTCAGTATGATCCCCCGCCGTGTGTTGGCGAATCCAATCTTCAGTCAATCGTCGCACAGGTCTCCGAGCGCGATTGGCTAGAACTTGAGCGGCGCTGAGATAGGGCTCGTGCGATTCGTCCTGTCCGAGCGAGAGCGCTGGGGGAGGTCGAAGAAAGGAAGTGCTGATAGCAATGTGATGGATGGGCGAGCCTTCGGATTGATCGCTGCCGATGCTCTCGCGGCGAATGAGGTTTGTCTCTTCAGTTGAGTAGGGCGAGCCCCAGCTAGCTGTCACGTATCTCTCCTCTTCCTCCGGGTTGGACTGGTTTTGACTTCTCAGAATTTCCCGAGCTCGGTCGGGGAGTCTGGGCGCAGGTAGCGAAGGTAAAATTGGGGAGGACCCAAGGTCCTCGCCGTCGGCAGCTGTGGACGTCGATGAGAGGGCGGGAGACGTTGGCGGCGAATTGTAGGATGGACGATGAGGTCCTGTGCCGTCCTGTGCGGATGCAGCAGGAGGAGATGCGGATTGCTGGGAAGAAGACGTCTTCGTGGGACTCTGTTTCAATTAGGAATGGGCCCAAGGGAAGACGTGGCGTATTGGGTGGACGTTCAAGGTATCCGTAGCACGCCGGGAATGTAGTAAGGTGAGGATACGGTGAGCTGTAACTTACCACGGTGAGATCAGCGCAAACGATGGGAATCGTCTGCAGCCAAGTCTCTGTGTATTCGCGTCGAGGACCCTTTGTTCAACAGCCCTCAAAAATCGGCATGCACACACAACGAAGCAGGCCGCGAGAAAAAAAAACGAAGGGAACGAACGGGCGCTGTCGAGGTTGTTGACAGGAATAAGGGGGTGGAGGAGAGGCGGCCCGTGTGATTGGGGATGGATGTGTGTGTATATTTGGGGCCGACGGGTGGTTTTTTTGGTCGCGACGCGTATTCGTAGGTGAGGTAGCCCAGGTATTTTTTTGTTAGGCGGGCAGGGAAGGGGACCTGGTCAAGAGAGGGAAAAAAAAAAAAGGATAGCCAGCAGAAATAAGGTATTATTTTGCAGATGGTGGTCCGGTGCAGGGATTAGAGGGACGGGGGGCCCGTTGCAGAAAGGAACTGGGAGAGGGAAATTATTGACTAAGGAGCGACATGAAGAGAGAAGGTAGGCAGAGGCAGCATGCGGTTACCGGACGCATCGGATCACAGGTTGAGCTACACGTACGATGGCGATTCCGTCGATATGGCAGGATGCCGTCGGCTGAGCGGACGAGTAGAGGGGGGATAGAGATGTCGTTAGATACGTGATGTGTCAGGAGCAAGGTGGAAAGTCAGTGAGGACTGGACAGGACGGCGAGGTAAAAGGCAACCTGGAAGGACACATGGGAAGCTAAGGTAATAATTCTTGCCTAGTTCCCCTTCCCGACCTAAGTTATCGTTGGAGATGGTGCCGGCCGGTTAGGTGTTCATGACTTGATTGTACACTACGAATGGTTCATAGGAAGACGATGGAAAATGAAGGGACTCGATGTATCCGTACATGCACAAGACTGGGAACGGGGATTAGACAGGAATGGCAAGGTACAGGTACGCGCACGGGAAGGAGCAGGTACAGCAGAGCTAAGGCACGACGGCCAGCCGAGGACAGCTCACTCAGACTGCCTTAGTCTCGCTACCTTACCTACCTAAGGTACCTTACCTTACTTAGTAAGGTACCTTGGTACCCTGCTGAATACCTATACAGGCACCTTGGCAGACTTGGGCTGTTCTTGGTTCCGTTACCTAAACGTTGTATGTATCCGTACACCTTTGTTGAACAAAAACCGTCAGGTCTGCCAGTCGTCCAATGCAGTGACAACCACGACAGGATAGCTCATCTGCACCGGCACGAATTCGTGGAGCCTCGATGAAAGGAAAAGGAAGGGATACCTCCGCCTAGAGTACCTCAGGCTACCGGGTTCGAGTGTCGTGGAGCCTAGGTTCGGTGGCCCGGCACCAGTGGCACGATGAGATTGGACGGCTTCAGCTGGGGCTACTATGTACAACTCCACGAAAGACAGCTGGCACTTTTCTGCCTCTGACCCTCTCTGCTTCCAGGTCGATACATACTTCGGGGCCCTTCTTTTCTAGCCAACTTGCGAGAGAGCAGTGGCACATGAACGAATGTCATTGGGGAAACGGGGCCAGACAAGAGTGACAAACTTGGATGAGATGGGGGGCATCCCCCTGCCCGCTTTCCAATAGGATGGACCGGGGGAGCGCGAGTCGCCAGGGACAGGCTGTCCAATCCACGATTCCACGATTCCCACACCACGGGCGAGAGACGACGATGGCCACTCAGCGGCCCAGCTTTGTTTTAATGAGAGTCCGCGCCGCCAAAAACCACGGGGCCGAGCTATGACCAGCCCAATCTCGCCTTGTTTGGTTGATATCATGGTACCTTTGGTGTGACCAGGAAGCAGGCAAGGGACAATGTACTCTCTTATCATTATTGAAATTCCCCCCCCCCCCCCCGGAAATCGCCTCCCCTACTGCTACATCGCATCTGGAGCTATGGGTGATTTCCCGCGGGATGAGAGGCCCCGCCGCTTGGATTCCTAGACGACATCGTATTTGCCAATGGCTCGAATGTCCGGCCCGTGACGCTCGTGCTCAGATTGCTTCTATATTGTGCCCGCCTGCTTTGGAAGATGGGTCGTGAAATCAGAGGAAGACGCTGCGTGTTTACAGGTATCTGGATCCGGTATCAAAGTTGGTGCTGGCATATCTATTGCTTTCAAGAACGCCATGCCGCCAATATCGCGACCTCAAGGTTTTTGAGCCAAAGGAACAAACATGTCTTTCGTCACTCCTCATATCATGGAGACTTCTGAAATAGTCCATGGAAGATATAATAAGCCTTATTATTTTACATCCTGCTAGGTAGTAGCGCCCACCCACTCAACAGCTCGAAAATCTGCATGACGGGAGCCCCAACTTGTCAAATTGCTGGTGCCATCCCCCTTGAACGCACGTTTTCTTCGACGACACTACTGCAGTTTCGGTCTAAACTTGAAAAAATATGCAGGTACCGAATTCCCAGACAATCATCAGAGCTGAGTGTCGTCGATTCGTCTCGTCTCATTCTCGATTCCATCCCTTCCTACTAGCTACCTAGCTATCCGTGAAACTCCTCCTGCATCTCATCAGGTGGCAGGCAAAGTCCTACCGGTTCGATCTGCATAGTCTAGTTTGCCTCAACTTTTCCATTCGCCCCGCGTTCCTAGTCAGGAACGACAAATGGCATTTTCGATTTGTGGATTGTGGTTTTCCCAAGACATATATTGTCTTACTCTTTCGAGCCACAAAACGCGAAAAGCTCGGGGCAAAAACAAAGGCAGGTTGGAAATTCCCCGGGAACAGCGTTGAACCTGGGGGACGTGTTTAATTAGCAAACGGATATTCAGTGCCCGTGGGTTTATTTCGAGAGCCCCCCGTCGAGTCTGGATCCCCGTTGGTGGGATACCAAGCGGTTCGGTTTTTATGTCCACATTGCTATGAAAGGACTGTCCGATTTCATGGGTTCTTTTTATTATTATTCAACGGATGTGTTGCCCACGCTTGCGAAAGTCGCGCGGAAAGATTTGGCTTAAGCAAAAGTTCAGGTGGCCAAGAAAGAAATAACCCTGTCCTGGGTCTGTGTTATTGTCCAAAGAAAGTCTACTACCTTACCTAGGCAGTATGAAACGCAGGTATGGCTGGCAACTGCTAGCATGGAGATCTGTTCTTTCCGAGATATTGTTTGCTTTCACAAGTGAAGCCATTCCGAGAGAACACAACAACTTTACACTATGAACGATCCTACAGTGCCACTTCTCAACGTCATCGAAGGAGTTCATCACCATAAATTTGATCATGATTTATTATTCATGGAATAAGAAGAAGAATAACCACACCCTCATCAACAGCCAAGCGTAAAGCCCGCCAGACATCAAACCTCGATCTCTACTTCGAGGAGCCTATAACACCAAACCAAGCTTTAACATGTACAGCTCAAAACCCCCCCCTCAACATCTCTGCCAAACATTTTGGCTTACGGCCCTCAACCCCTCAACCCCTCAACCCCTCATTCACTTTCCACCATCTCTCAATATACACAAGTCGTAGGTATCTCCTTTCACAGAGCTCCTACACAGCAACGCTTACATCACCACCGCCGCCGCCGCCGCTGACAACAGACATCTCACTCCACCACCCAACTCAGACAGACCTCTCAAGGATCACAAAAGATGTCAAAGTCTCCCACCGTGCCCGAAAACACGGGATCGCCAAAGCTCTGCTTTGTGATAGAGTCGATTGTGTTTTTGCATTGCTCTACCGGTCCGTATTAGTATCGTAATCCTCTCTCGACTCTACCCCATCAATTGTGAAGGAAAGTTCCAACACCATGGGAGGGAGGCTTCTAGACTCACCAACTTGTTCATCACACTTCGTCACCTCAAACTTTTGCGGTCCGTTGTTGGCTGCTTGTGAGCACTTGTTCTTCTGGTTATCGCACGACCTGCCCGCGGCGGTTTTGAAGTCGGGCTACAAACGAGCACTCGTTAGCACGCTTCCCCTAGCCACTCACACACAATTCCTCTCCGTCTTCTCCTGTGGAGAGGTCGGATATCTTGCAGAAGAAACTCACAAAAGTATCGCCGTCAACCTCGAACGGTCTACTAGGGTTATTTGACTTGGTAATCTGCATCCCAAGCCATAAAAAGTCAGCAACCAATGTTCCTTCCTTCGATTCTTCCCTCATCCTACTCCTGAAACAGCGCCACCCTTCAAACGCCACACCGAACTCCTCCCCGGAGCTAGAACATTCACGCCCATGGAGGGTCTCGACTCTTGCTCGGGTTGTTGGTTGAGGGCTGGGGCAGAACATCCAGAGAGATGTAGAGATCAAATTCACATACCGCTGACGCCTGGACACCGCCCAAATTCCCATCAAAAGTCTGCAGGTTCTGCGCTGTCTGCCGCGGCAGCAGGCCATACTTCCACCCCATGCGCATCTCGTCGCCGAGGTCCATCGCCAGCACGCCCGCCACCACCACGGCGGCCCCCGATAGGGCGTTGAAGAGTGTTGATGTCCTCATTGCTTTCTCTCTGATCTTTCTTTGTGGGGCCGGCTGCGGTTTAGCCGTTTTCCGCTCGTCCTTTCGTCGTCCTTTCGTCGTCTTTCGAATGTGATTATCGGATCTGCTCTCCCTCCGATTGATTAATCGATCGCGTCGGTTGCTTTCGTCGAGTATCGGTTTCCGTGATTGTGGCCGTAACCCAATTGATATCTCTCCCTTTCGTGTCGTAGATAAAGTTCTCCCAGCTCCGTCCTTCACCAGCGCATCGAATTGAAATATTAGGAATATGTCGTTTGTGATGGTAATCCCGAGGCTCAACCTCGTCGAATCGTATATAGCGTCGTCAACGAATCGCAGGAGGAGTGAAGTAGGTGGGCGACGCGCAGCGCTCAATGTGAAGACCGTACGTAACACCGAAAGGACGTTGGAGGAGTAGAAAGAAAAAGGAACAACCAAACGTCCGTCCCTTAAACTTTACCAGCCTGGGCTTTTCCGGATTAACAGACGCCCGCGGCTGCGACAGATGCGCGGCACAGGAGGGGGGAAAGATACTTAGGTATTGGGCCTTGCAGCAAGAAAGGGAACCTGAAACGCGGGAAAGAGATCCCAACCACCGCCCGCCCACAAAAAGCTGGGATGCAACACCACCACAAAGCACTCCCGAAACACCACTGAGACGGGGAAATCATATTACGGATGGGCTAGCTTTGGTGCCACGGGTGCGCCCACGTGATATTGCCCAGACGGGACGGGCAACCGAAGAAGGACGATCATGCTGGCATGGAGACATGGACTTCATCAGATGGCAGTTGAGCCCCCTTGGATGACGGCCGATCATATCGGGAAAAGACAGAATGGAATAGAGTTTAGAGGGAGGGGCGGGCTGCAATCAATCGGTTGAACTCAGTCTTCTCCCTCAAGAGCCAACCCCCCGGCCTCCTCAGCCAACAGACTTCACCTGCGTCATTTTGAATGTGGTATGTGCTTCTTTTTTTTTTTTTTTTTTTTTTTGCCTTTCATTGTTTGAATTGTTTGGAAGTTGGCGGTCCTGATATTAAAGTTGTATCTTAACGTACGTACAAGCCTACGGGCCTAGAAGGCTGCCCATCAGACTTGCTTGTTGCGGTCTCTGCCGTGTGTCTTTGCTGGTATCGATGCCCTGTCCTGATGCGCGACTCGTTTGAAGCCCACGCTAGTCCAGTGAGGTGATCATCCTAAGCCCAGCCGACAAAGAGTAGTTTTCTGCCTTCTATGTACATATTTCTATCCATTAGTCCGGAGACCTTGCGATATGCAACCATGCCTGCCATGATAATCTGGCGGCCCCAAACTCCACATGACTGGTGGAAAGGCCAGCCGCAACAATATTGAGTAAAAAGAGAAATCAATGATTGTGGTATCCGTTTGGGAAGGACCGGGGAATCAACGCTTTCTGCCGCAAGAAACAATCATTGAAAGTCGCAACACACATCTTCTTAGAAGTTGGATGATGCATTGACTTGTCCATTCGGTGCGTGGTAGCTTTCGAGAGTCGACTGGAAGGGAGTACGGCCGGAACCAGATCCTTGGGCGCTACCGACCTCGTTCTTGGGCTCGTTGCCGTACTGGTTGTTGTACTCCATGAGGCCATCGTTCTCCTCGGCCTGCTTCTTCTTGCCCCAAATTCTCCATGCGACGAAGCCCAGGGCACCGAGGACGATGGCACCGCCGACACCAACAACGACACCGATGACAGTCTTACGTGTCTCGGATGACATGCCAGACGACGAATCTTCAGAGTTGGCCTCGTTAAGGCCAGGGGTGCTCGTGACGGTAGACTCGGAGGTGAAAGAAGTAGCTACACCAGCGGAGTTGGTGGTGGTGATAACGGTCTTGACGGTGGAGGTAACGGGTTCGGCGGTAGTTGAGTGGGTGGAAGGCGCGGCACTTGCGCTGGTGGTCTCATCGTTGTTGCTACCAGCAGATGTGGTGCTGGTCTTCAGGGTTGTAGGGGCAGCCGTGGCTCCCGGTGTTGTGGTTGACGCAGGCGCGTTAGCGGATGTGGTCGGGTCGGCGGCGGCGGCAGATGTGGTAGTCACAACGGCGACGGTGGTGCTGGTGCTCGGAGCAGCAGTCGTTGTTGTAGTGACGGCAGCAGCAGATGTGGTGGTTTGAGCAGCAGTCGACGTGGTCTCGGCGCCGCTGGCGGTTCCTGATTGTCTCTTGAGAAGGCCATCGCGGGGTTCGGCTTTGTTGAAGTTGAACCACGATGCCTGAGCGACTGAGGCGAGGGCGAGGACCTGAATGGCGCGTGTGGGATGCATTTTGCCTGTGGTGAATGACAGGTTTACCAGTATACTGGTGGTGTTCGAGGATAGATATGTCAAATTCGGCCGACTGTAGGAAGTAATTCTCTTCGTCGGTCAGATAAACCGAAGATGGATCGTTTGTGTGGCGACAAACGAATTCTTTTGATGGTGGTGTGAAAGACACAGGGGGGTCCTTAGGTGAGTCGAGTCGGTTCGTCTGGAATTCTCGGAAAGTTCTTGCGTGCCCGGTGGGTACGAAAATAGGAGAGCGGCACCGGGTCAAGGTGGGAGGGCGGAAGCGACCGGTAGGTTAAAAGGGTAAACCGTAAAAGGCGAATTTTGTCAATGTGATGCAGGAATCACTCGGGGGGAAACGAGAGGAAGGAACCAAGAATGTCGATAGGGAAAAGCGAGTGAAATGATTTTATGAAGTGAGGGATGAGTTGGGATAGGTTTTGAGGGGGGTGGTCATTGGAGTGGAACGTGCGGGAAGGTCAGAAAAACAAGACTCGTATTCGAGCTGGAGCGGCGTGAGAGGGTGGTCAGTGTGAAAAGGCAGGTTCGTACCTTAGAAGGTACTGCTTTACCGTGCTTGACTGCGCAAGGTACGGATAGAGCGCTGAGGGCAGGTGCAGGTACCAGGTATGCAGGGCCGGGCCACTTCTTCTTTCCTCCGTCGCACTGTCCATGACCCATGTGGTGGCTGTTCTTGGCTTCTTCCTGGGGACAACAAGCGTCAGAAAAGGGAACCAACCCCAATCAGAAAACCCGCCAGCAACGTTGCGTAGGGAGACTGAAGTGGGAGAGCGAGCCGGTAGCGACCGGGGGGAGTGGCTGTGGATGCTTGCCAGATTTTGGTGCAAGGGACAACGTGGTGGCGGTCTGACGGCCTAAATTAATCAGGTTACCCATCTCACATTCGTCCGCTTCTCGCGCGATGACGACCGTTCATTGGCCAGGCCAATTGAACCCTGGGCTCGACGCGGGGCACTGTGGTACACGACGATCAATGCTGAAATGCTGCAGCCACTCAGAACGGAGCAGGCTACGTCTCTTTCACATCGGCTCTCGGCGAATCAGAAATGGCTTCACTCTCAGACCCTTGGTTGCCCTGCTGCTTTCCTTCCCTTACCTCTCGAGATTCGGACAGAAGTGGCTCAGCCTCCATCTCGTTGCTCCCGACCCTTCGCTCAGTCACTTCCCGTCGTCTGTTCGCCGCCTCGAAGAGTCGACACAACCGAGAATATCGCCGAGCCTCTGAGGTCAGTGGAACACTCCAAGGAAGCAGCCCCAGCTGTCAGCACTCTTTAGCGGCCGAGTGGTTGGTAAAAACGGCTTGAACGGCTCCTTCTAGCCCGTCAGATGGCCCCAGAGTCTGGCCCAGTCCGCTGCAACCGCTGACTCTGCCGCATTCCTTGTAGCGGTTGGCGCCGACTGTTTGCCATCAGGAGCTTTTTTCTCTGCAAGCCGCAAGCCGCAAGCCGCAAGCCCCAAACGCTCAAATGCAGCAATCCGATCTTGCATGGCGCGCTTTTTCTTTCATCAGCAGACAATGAGCATCCCAAAAATAACCATGGTTTGTCTATTGTCAGGAAAATCTGTTGACAGGCGGCTTTGTTGACTACACCACTACTAACGGACTACTACCTAAGAGAATGCAGGACACCAGGAGTCGCCGGTGCAGTAACATCTACAACCACGGTGATGACGATGACGATGGGATAGGAACCAGGCTTTCTGTCGGTCTACGGATAATGATCCAGAACGGAAAAGAGCGACAGTCTCGTGGCATGTGCCGTTGGGTCAAGCCCTTCAGAGATGCTTAAAACCAAGCATCATGAAAAGGAACGCATAGTGGCATTCAAAAACACATACATGCGTTGCCGGCCGGCACCGATGGATCTATGCAAAAACACCAATATTGAAGCCACTGCTTGTCCCCATCCACAGCAATGCAACATGCCTGCTCAGGGCCGATCTTGTCTCTATTTTCAGCATCGACCCGTCGTTCTTTGCTCCAAGCACCTCCGCTTCTGCCAGCCTGGCGTGCCTAGCCCGGCCAATTCTTCTTCAGGGTCTTCCAAGCACGTCTCCACCTTCCCCCGGGCCCCTCCCAGCATTCGTCATTCTCCCCGGCCCCGTCCAAGAATCCGGATTCCACAGCTTTTCCAGAACTCGGCATTCGTCGTCGCACCACTGGTGCCGTGCCCTACAATTTACAGTGTCGACAACACGGTCAACACCCCTAGGATATGTGAGGCGTCTATGGGGAAGGGGTCAAGAATTTCTCGGACGACGGGCATCATCGCCTCACTGGGCCATAACATTTGCCTTCCGCGGCGGCCGACGTCACTTCCGCGCTCGAGGGTCTTCGCCCTTCACCGAGGGCCCCTGCAACAACAGTCAACAGGACTGCTGTAACGGTACAGCCTGCAGGATGACGATGTCGACAATAAGTTGCCATTCAGACTGCGCCCGAAGCATCTTGGAATGTCAGCGAGAACTCTGATCAAACAATTTGTCGGCTCATAACTGATGCCTCTCCGTGCGTCATTTGTTCCGAGCAATGGGCAACCTCCAGATGAACCACCCAGCCAACAGTTGTTTGAGGGAAACTGAGAACCCAATGACTGCGTTTTGCCTAGCTTTTACACTTCAGGGTCCCCTTTATTCGAAGCTCTGTTTCCTAGCGCCCTCGTCATGGGTTCCTCTTCTTCCCACATCCCGGCACATTGTCGGTCCAAACTCCACGAAGGAGACTGGAGACCTTCCCGTACCGAGCGTAAGAGGCAACCGATGGCGGAACAACAATCCGTCCGCAGCTGACGTCGGGTCCTGCTTCCGCGGCTCTCGGCGCCGGAGGACCCGTTTGTTCACGTACACCCGCATAGTGCAACGATGTAAGCAGTGCATTCCATCTTCCAGCCCACGCATGTCAAACCACGCACTGGACCTTAATCATACAAGTGTGCTTCGCCTCTCGATACAGCGATACGATTGACCAACCATACAGCGGTAAATACCTAGGGGCTAGATTGCTCTATTTACCAAAGTCCCCTTTTGTGCCTCTCCTTGAACTTTTGCCCATTTCAAACGGGAGTCTGTGATGACTGGGCTGCCTATGAGAGCTAGCTTAGGATCTTGCCCGCAGGTGAATACATCATCAGACAGCAATCACCTAGGTGTTTCATGTTGCCGTCTACGTAGGCACTCTTCATTGACTTGGCTATATTATCTCGAGAGTCTCGCAGCCCGAAAACACTACCTGAGCCAGAACACGCTTATGCTGCCAAAAGTCCTCGCAACACCACAAAAATGAGTCACAGGCTCGATGGACAATTTACAGTATATACATCATTGCTATTCAATCCAAGGAACAAAACTTTTGACAAGAACATCTCGATTGTCGTCGACCCAGCGACCGGTTCCATTGCAGATGTGTATGAACGGAAACGATCCGAAAATGTCGAGTTGAAAAATCGTGACATAGATCTCCGAGGGAAGGTTGTGATGCCAGGATTTGTCGACGCCCATACACATGTGTTTCTTCATCCATACGAGTGAGCCTCATCAAACGTGGCACAGGGTCCTTTGCTCATCTAACAATGCCTAGTGAAGCTTCATCGACGGTCCAGATGCGCGACGAAAGTGTCGTCGAGCGAGTCGTTCGTGCTACAAATCATCTCCGCGTCGCCCTTTTGTCCGGTTACACCACCTACAGAGACATGGGCACCGAAGGACTGCGCTCATTCGACGCAAACCTGAGAGACTGCGTCAACCGAGGTCTCCTGCCCGGCCCGCGACTCTTCGTGGCCACCGAGTGTCTCGCCAGCACCGGGTCCTACGAGGTCCGTCACGAGAACGCGTGGGCCAAGCTGCCGCGCATTTCCGACCCCTGCGACGGTCCGGTGGGCGTGACACAGGCTGTCCGGCGCCGTGCGGCCGATGGGGCCGATATCATCAAGTTCTACGGGGACTATCGGCGCAAGGTGATGCGATTTCCGAATGCAAAGGAACCGATCCCGTTTCTTCCTTGGGAGCCCAACCCGACTGTGGTCATGTTCAACCAGGAGGAAATGGACGCAATCGTCAAGGAAGCTAAGCTAGGCGAGCTGCCCGTGGCGTGCCACGCGGGATCGGCAAAGGGCGCGCTCATGGCTATCAAGGCTGGCGTCGATACCGTTGAGCACTGCCAAGAGGCCACCGACGAGGTCTTTCGAGAAATGGCGCGCCGCGGTACCATCTTCGTCCCGACGCTCGGGATCATGAAGACTTCGCCTGAGTATAGCCGCATCGCCAAGCAGACCAAGAGGGCGCACGATCTCGGCGTGCGGCTTGCTGCTGGAGGTGATACCGGAACGTTTCCTCATGGGGAAGGTGCTCTTGAAATGGAACTCATGATCCGGGCAGGGGTTCCTGTCGTGGATGTGCTGGAAGCGTGCCTGATGGGAGGCTGGGAAAGTTGCGGTAAGGAGAAGAGCGGCTTTCGTTTTGGGTCCATTGAGAAGGGATACCGAGCCGATATCATTGCCCTGGACACGGATCCGAGAGAAGACGAGGGGGCCTTGAAAAAGGTTGGCTTTGTCATGAAGGACGGCAAGGTCTGGAAGAGGGACGGGCGAGCAGTCGGCTTCTTCGAGGAGCAGACGGTCGATTCGAGCCCCGGCGCCGATGAGGAGTCGGATTGGACTTTTGTTTGAATGGCGTCATATGGGCTTCATTACATTTAATTAGTCAATCGCTTGCCCGCACCAACTGTCCATGATGAGCAGCGAGGTTACATTGCGCCAGCCGGATCATCACCAACAAGCGACGGATACGAGCTTGAATGCGACCAGACAGTCACAGGCAAACATATTCCGGCCTTCGGCACTTGATATATCGTAACTCCGTTCTGCGGACAATAAACGGGCATCGCGTTAATTGAGATTGAAGTAGGTACCGGCGACGATCAACACTGGTCCATACGCCCTCTTGTCGCAATTCACCGTCGGATCTGCCTCCGCACGCAATCGGCCGAGATTATTCCTGGTAAAGTATTCGAGTACGTCAAGAAGGGGGGGTTGTTGGAACCGCTTCCTCCAAATGCTCCAACGATCAACCACCCGCATCTCCGCACGGCTCCTGCGGGCTAAGGCCGACGAAGCTTAATCAACTGACCACCCAACCAACCTCTTTTTCCCCGTACTTCGAGGCTGCAGAAAAATGGCTTGCATATCGCGGACCAAGCTTTTTCTCAGCCCACGGGCATCGGACGATCGTTTCGTATGCGAAGCTAATGACACCCGTTTTGGCGGACATGCCCATTCGTTTCTTCTAGTGCCGCTACTGCATCTTTCCGGCAATGGAGGGGGGAGGGGGAGGAAGCTTCGGGAGGGGAAGGGGAAAAGATGAACGTTGGGCCATTACTACGCACACCTCAAATTATTGACTACCGCATTAATCTGCGCGGGTCGAACGGCGCTAGAGCACCTAGAAGGTTATCGGTCTCCGGACGACTCTCAGGGTTTCGTGCGGCTGCATATGTCCGAGGTTGGTGACTTTGACGATTATATCATGTAACGGACGGCACACCCTGGTGGGTGTCATAGTCTCATCCTTTCTCCTCCTCCTCCCCGTTTTTGACAGCCGCCACCCCCGGATAACCTGTCAGACATAATGAGGCCGTCTCTTTTCTCCATCGCCTCGCTAGGCCTCGGGCTCTGCTCCGCCGTATCCGCGAGCAGCAGCAGCAGCCTCGCCGGAGCTCGTTCCCCTCTTCCCGCGGTCATCGACACAAGAGACCAGCTCCAGGACATTGTGACATGGGACGAGCACTCGCTCTTCGTCCGCGGCGAGCGGGTCATGATCTTATCGGGCGAGATTCATCCCTTCCGCCTGCCCGTGCGGTCGCTGTACCTCGACGTCTTCCAAAAGGTGAAAGCCCTGGGTCTAAATACGGTCTCCTTCTACCTTGACTGGGCGCTGCTCGAGGGGAAAGCCGGTGACTTCACCGCCGAGGGCGTGTTTGATCTCCAGCCCTTCTTCGACGCCGCGACCAAGGCGGGCATCTACCTCATTGCAAGGCCCGGTCCGTATATCAACGCCGAGGTCTCTGGTGGTGGGTTTCCCGGTTGGTTGGCGAGGCTCAAGGCGAAGCTGAGGACCTCGGACCCCGAATTCCTCTCCGCGACGGATAAGTAAGTAATGATGTTTGATGCCTTGGGGGTTTTGTAACTGCAACAAGTGACTGACACTGGTCGTTAGCTACATGGCAAAGGTTTGCGGCATCATTGCTAAGGCCCAAATCACCAACGGCGGCCCTGTAATCCTCCTGCAGCCGGAGAACGAGTACACCAACTTTGATACCGGCAGTAGTCCCGATGGACCTTACTTCCAGTATGTCATCGACCAGGCTCGCAAAGCTGGGGTTGTCGTGCCCCTCATCAGCAACGACGCTAGACCAGCGGGTCACAATGCGCCTGGAACGGGCGTAGGCGCCGTTGACATTTATGTAAGTCACTCTGAAGCTACCGCAGAGACTTGAGACTAATGCTTTCTACAGGGTCATGATGGGTACCCGCTTGGTTTTGACTGTGTACGTAGTATCCTGCAATCTATCCTGAAAGAAAAGAAAAAAAGGACTGGCAAATGGAACTGACCGCTGAGATATAGGCAAACCCGAATACGTGGCCAGACAATAAGCTACCGACCAATTATCACGCACTGCATTTGCAACAGAGTCCGAGCACGCCGTACTCGATATTAGAGGTAGGCTGACAGGTCTCTATGGAGAGACATGAGCTTGTGCTTACTCGTGACAGTTCCAAGGAGGATCTTTCGACCCTTACGCCGGACCTGGTTTTGAAAAGTGTGCTGCATTGCTTAATCACGAGTTTGAGCGCGTATTCTACAAGAACAACTTTGGAGCTGGCGTCACTATATATAACCTGTATATGGTTAGTTACTGCGAAGGGGTTAGGAACGAGGGGCCGATACTGACGCAAAAGTAGATTTTCGGCGGTACTAATTGGGGTAATCTGGGGCATCCGGGAGGGTACACGTCCTATGATTACGGCGCCGTGAGTTGGAAGTTTTTGATCCGTGGATTTACAATTACTAAAATTTTGCAAGGCAATCACGGAAGAGAGGAGTGTCTCGAGGGAAAAGTACTCTGAGCTGAAGCTCGAGGCACAGTTTATGAAAGTTTCGCCTAGCTACCTGACCACAACGCCCGCAAACTTGACCGTTGGCGTTTACAGCGCAACTCCCGACATCACAGTCACGCCTTTGCTAGGTAATGGAACCGGCTCTTTCTTCGTCGTCCGGCACAGCAACTACTCCAGTGTTGCTACGACCGATTATACGCTTCGTCTACCCACGTCGCAAGGAACCATCACGATCCCGCAGTCCCGCGACCTGCTTCAGCTCACCCGTCGTGATTCGAAGATCGTCGTCACTGATTACCCTGTTGGAAACACGACACTACTGTATTCGACAGCCGAGATTTTTACTTGGAAACGGTACAAGAACCAGACGGTTCTTGTCGTTTATAGCGGACCTGGCGAGACGCACGAAATAGCTATCAAATCGACCGTGACGCCTTTCCTCGTCGAGGGCACCAGCGTTGACCATAATTACGTGAAAAATACCCTGCTCTTGGCATGGGAGACATCCAGCACTCGACGGGTAGTCAAGGTTGACAACCTGGTTATTTACATTTTAGGTAAGTACAACAGCTACTCCGTACCACTTTGTAACTAACACAAAGAAGACCGCAATTCGGCATACAACTACTGGGTGCCGGACAAACCTGGCGGAAGCGAATCAGCATACGGAACGTCCATTATGAACCCAGACTCGCTCATTGTCAACGGCGGGTACTTGATAAGATCGATCTCAATACAGGGTGACACTCTCAGGGTCCAAGCAGACTTCAACCGCACCACTGAGTTGGAGATCATCGGCGTCGAACCAGAAGTCACAAAGCTTGAAGTCAATGGCAAGCAACTGGACCACACAACGAACAACCTAACCAACTGGATCGCGAAACCGTCCCTCGCGGATGCCGCGCCCACCGTACCAGACCTCAAGTCACTCAACTGGACCTTCATCGACTCCCTCCCCGAAATTCGCCCAGGCTACGACGACTCCGCCTGGCCCCTTGCAGACCACAAAACCACAAACAACACAATCGCCAACCTCACGACCCCCGTCTCCCTCTTCGCCTCAGACTACGGCTTCCACACCGGCACGCTCGTCTTCCGGGGCTACTTCACCTCAAACGGCACAGAAGACAAGCTCAACATCACAACCCAGGGCGGCTCCGCCTTCGCGAGCTCCGTCTGGCTAAACGACACCTTTCTCGGCTCCTTTGCCAACGGACCCGACACCGCGGGCGATAACACCTCCAACTACACCCTGGCGAACCTCACCGCGGGCGCGACGTACGTCCTGACCGTCCTCGTCGACACGACCGGCCTCGAGGAGAACTTTGTCATCCCCGCGGACGTGATGAAGAACCCGCGCGGGATCTTGGACTACAGCATCACGTCCCCCTCTGGCGCCCAGACGAACGTCACGACGTGGAAGATTACGGGGAACCTCGGCGGCGAGGACTACGCTGACAGGTTCCGCGGCCCGTTGAACGAGGGAGGGCTCTTTGTCGAGCGTCAGGGCTATCACCTCCCCTCTCCGCCCGAAGCGGCGCTCAACACGCTACGCTCGCCATTTGAAGGGATAGATGCGCCCGGCGTAGCATTCTACGCCGCGAAATTGGATCTGCAGATCCCCGCTTCCGACCTCGATGTGCCTGTAGCGTTCGTTTTCGACGATATCGCGGCGGCTAACGGTACTGGAGCGTACCGCGCCATCCTCTACGTGAATGGGTTCCAGTACGGGCGGTACGTGAGCAACATTGGTCCGCAGACCAGGTTCCCCGTGCCCGAGGGCATCCTCCGGTACCAGGGGACCAACTGCATTGGTCTAGCCGTCTGGACTCTCGAGAAGGGCGGGGCTCGTGTGCAGAACTTCCGGCTCGATGTCGGCGAGGTGGTGACGACGGGGCGGGAGGAGGTCAAGGTTGTTGAGGCACCGGGCTGGAGTCAACGGGCTGGAGCATACTGAGATTTTGCCGAAGACACTTTGCATCCTGTCATATTCGTAGTACATATAGTCCAGGTGGTTTAAGTAAGGCGGGTTCGCTAACAAGATATCGATCACACATTCTCAGTTCCAATCTACACCTGATCTCAAAACCACTCCCAATCAATCTCCCCAACTCATTCAAGATGCAGTTTCCGATCTTCTCTTCTCGCCCTTGCCAGCATCCTGCCCCTCGCTCTGGGCGCCCCTGCCGGAGTCAACACCGACAACCTCACCCGCAGCCAGAAGGCGCTCTTGGATTCCTCCAGGCTTATTGTGAGGCCTTTGTCCTCCTCGAGCAGCTGGGAGAGAGCAAACCTGCTAACTTGGCATGCTCAGTGTGGCTAATATGCCGGCAGCGAGTGGGTCATGATCGGCCCGCTCAAGGTTCCGTGTAACTCTCCAATCCAAGTAGGTGACAAAATGGGATGCCGCTCCTTACCCTAGCTCTATCTCTATTATTCCTACTATTATTAGTACTAACAATATTCTTCTTCTTCTTGTTCTTCTTCTTATTTTTTAAATTGTAATGTTCTTAGTATATGCTTTATTGAATATAGTAGTAGGAATAAGAGAAGTATCTATAGAGCTAAGGTATATCGCGTTATATGGCAGACTATTGTGTCACACGTTTGCCATCACCTCATCGACACTCTCCTCGCTATCAGCGATGAGTCCACCGACCTGGACACCAACTGGGAGCACGATTACGCGAAGAAAAGACACGAGGGCATTGAGGAGGACGGTCTTGAGGTTAAGCGTGACGAGATCACTGATCTCGACATCAACTGGCAGCACGAGTACGCGTAAATATTGTAGGGGATTTTAGTAAGATTCATGTTTGTAATCTCTTCAGGGAGGTCGTGATGGTGGGGGGAACGGAATGGGATAAACAGTCTGTAGTTGTTGCCAGCTTTTGATACGAGGGCAGAAGTACAATAAAACCTCCTGGTTACAACAACCACAAACCTTGGTCGGGAAGAGTACATGGGCGGTTGTCTCTCTCGCAGATTGCGTATCCTGAATGATCGAGGGTCCAGGTGCAATACCGTTGTGCCGGAAGCATGCGCACATCCATGGATCTTAGATTCACTATTGATTACAAGCTGTCGAAGACCACGATTGTCAGCCCTCCAGCGAAAGGATATTACCTGCCTAAATCTACCTGCCTGGAGTCAGTTAAGAAGAACACGACTAATTCCCTCACCCTTGGTGGCTGCGCCGCAGGTCTGCAGCTGATAGATCGCGGGACCGACGTCCGGCCAACATAAATTCCCAAGGCATTCCCAGCCTTTGCTTCCTCTGAAGTGTGAAAAATGACCCTGCACCTTGCCCTGGGCTGTCTTCTCACGCCGAAACTAGCTATGGCCTCTAACGACGAGATTGAGGCAATCGCCTCTGACCCAAACTTCGAGATCATCACAACCTTTGCCTACTCGGCAGGTCTCCCCCACAACGAGGCATCTCTGCCGGGGTCACACTGCTACCTGCTTCAACACGGGATCAATCGTCTCCAAGCCGCAGCGTCTGATCTCTCATGGAACGCCGTGGCTGAGGACTTGCGTAGCATCGACCGTGTGCAATCGTTGTCCAAGCAGGTCAGCGCCCACATGCTTTCAACCCATGGCGAAGCATCCAAGGACCCGGGCAGACGCTTCATCGTGCGCTTGGCCTTCAAGAGCGACGGGATCCTCAGCATCATGTCGGGCCCGAGGCCCAACTCAACGGATACCCTTTACCCAATAACCTTGTCGAACATCATGAACCCTCTCCGTACTTCAGAAATCCCCGTGTACCTTGACACGGAGCCGACAACGCCCTCACTGTTCACCAAGCACAAAACAACGCATCGCCAGTCTTACAGCGCCGCTTGGGAACGTGCGGGTATGGACGAGACGACGTCGCCTGCTGAATGTGACGTGCTGTTACAGAATGAGAGCGGTCATATCATGGGAGGCGCGTTTAGGACGGTATACTTTTGGAGGGATGGCAGGTTGGTGACTCCGAGTAGTGTGAGTGGATGCAAGATGGGCATCTCGAGAAGATGGGCAGTGGACAATGCGGGTGTGAAGGAAACATTGATCACAGCTATGGACATCAGCGATGGCGAGGTGATTTGGTTAAGTTCGGCTGTAGGGGGGGGGCTTCATACAGGGGAGGGTTACTCTAGAAAGAAAGACCTGAGATAACTAAGATTTGTGAGCCCGCGGATGCTTGCGGCTCTATGATTTGGAACCAACCAAAAGAATCCCCAGAGCTCTCAGATCAGTCATAGATGTTACGTGTATTCATGGCCTGTTTTAGCACAGTGAAGCGGCTTCCGCGGTCTTTTTCGTTACAATTCGTCACCAACTATTTACAATCTTTCGTGTAAACCACTCTAGAAATATGCGTGCCACACTTGTATTCGCGATTACGTCCTTCGCGACCAGCGCTATCGCAGCTAGGTCAATGGGCTACTGCCAAAACTTAGCCGGCGACGGCGGGAGCATCGAAAAGACGAGGTTCTGCTGCGACTCGCAATTCGATTTCCGCTTTTCCGAGGTAAGTTCCAACGACTGCTCCCTTTGTTCACTTGAAACAATCACAACTACCATAACCGAGAAAGCAATGCTAACGTGAGGCGGAATGATCAGTCTGGCATATGTAACATCCCTGCGGACTCGTGCCGTGGCATCAGCGCGTGCTGCGGGACCGGTTTCTACGTCTTCAACACTTGTCCCGACACTTTTCCGTGTGAGAACAGCGCAGTGGACAAGGTGTGTCCGCAGAGTTAGTCGTAGTTACAGTGATAGGTTGGGAGGAGTGAAGATGAATCTACTTGATTGTTGGCTACGTTGAATCTTAATTATGACGTGCAGCTCTGCTTACGTCAAATCAATAATCTCTGGCTCAGCTTTTCGTTTCACCCCAGCAACAGGCGGTGGAGGCTGACTTGGCCCAGGAGCCGCAGCTACACCTAGTCTCCAGGTATTCAGACTAGAAGGCGGCGGTCGCGACGACTTTCTCGCATTTCCCGTTGTCGGCGCAAAAGCACTCTGCCCTGATGGCATTACTGTAGGCACCGGTGCCGGCCCGTTTACTGGCCGAGGCCCATTCATCGGACCATTCATCGGTTGAGCACCGTTCATGGGCGGTGGTACGGATGATGGCCCGGCTGCTGACGTATTGAAATGTGACGGCGGCGGTCCCCGTGCGGATCCGATCATCGGCTGAAGACGATTCGTGGGCGGTGGAACCCACGCGGGCCCGACTGCCGGCACGATGGTATTCCCCGGCGGTACATAACCTGCGGCAGCGGGTCCCGGAGCGGGGACAGGGGCTGGAACAGGAGCCGCAGTTGGAGCCGCAGTTGGAGCCGCAACCGGAGCCGGAGCTGGAATCGGTGCCGGCGGATACGTCACACCGCCCCGCCCCGGCACCAGATTTACCGGCCGCTGCCACAGCGCCGTCGCAATGGCCGGGTAATCCTCACCAAGCAACACCCCCAACTTGGTCTGATCAAACGCCTGAAAGGCCTCCTCCGCCTCCTTGGCCCTCGCCTGCTGCTTCGCGACATCCGTCTGCCCCACCTTGTTTATCACCATGGTAGGCCCTCCGGGCGCAAACCGCTCAGTCTCATGCGTGACCCGAATGCCGTGTTCCTCAGTCACCTTGTGCACGTGGTGCCGCTGCTTCTTGGCGCCAATGACCAAGCGGAGCGACGTCTGTGCCGGGTTCGCGAGGAAGTTGTCCAGCTTGCTGCAGTCGCCGCAGGTACAGAACTGCACGAGGTACATGCCGCCTCCCAGCTGGCCGGACGGTGGCTGGACTGGCCTTGAGCCGACGTAATTGTCGCGGTAGGCTTCGAAGACGGCGGCGAAGAGTTGTTGGTAGCGCGGGCTGTTGAGGGGTGTCTTGGTGGCTTCGACGGTGGCGAGGAGTTCGCGGAGGAGGGGGATCCAGAGGACGGGGAAGTCGATCGCGTGCATTTTGGGAGCATGACTAACAATCTTCAGGGCCAACGGCAGGACTAGGTCCTCTTGTGGAGGGGAGGACGCGAGCTTGATGAGGCCGGAGAAGAGGTCTACCAGGGCGACGTGGGTCAAGGCGAGGCGATGATCGGGGGCAGAGGGCGCCGTCTGGCCGTATGTGTGTCTCGCCCTCTTGTGGGCTGGGTCGTCTCCCCTGGGCCCGTGGACTTTTTCGAGGTCGAGCATTGCGATGAGCTCTTTGGCAAGCCACTTGTATAACTTGACAGCTCGAGTCACCGGAAAAGCCTTTCGTCTGGCGCATGAGAGCAGCGCTGATAGGAAATCTAGTGCAAAAGCTGGCGTGCGTACAAGTAGCTCCTTGATCAAGGGCATTGCTCTGCCAGTGAGAGTCAGTGATTTGCACGTGTAGCGGTGATTAGGGTTTCTTGAAAGAGTCTTACACAGAGGAAAGCCAGTCGAAGTCAGCATACTTCTCAGCGCCTGTCACCAAAGCCAGACCATCTTGTCGGACGAAGATTGCGGAATCGGCAATGTCTTTGACACCTTTGGTGAGCATTGCTCGTGCCCACTCCCAAATCTCGTCAGACAAGGGTTGATCGGTAGGCGCAAAGGCCTTAACCGCCTCGAAGATCTCGAAGAAATGCCGACCCCTGAACACTGTGGAAGTCAAGCTGGAACATCGACAACGCGGTTAATGAGAGACCTTGCAAGCATGGGCTGAATACAGGGCAGATGAACGCACCCGTTTTTGATATTGGAAAAATCCACTTCGCCCTGTGAGACCTTCGTGTAAAGTACTAGATAGTAGCCCGCGGGCAGTGGCCCGCCCAGCTCCTTTTCGCCCCTCTTCTTGCTGACTTTTTCGAAAAAGTCCCAATCTTTCATAGCCACAGCGGACCGTAACACTTTGCTCAAGATTTCGTCTTCAGCCTTTTGGGTACGCGAGCCTGGACGAGGGACCGACGTATCCCAGACATACTTGAGAGTCTCAAAGGATGATTTGCGGTTAGGCAAGGCCTTGAGAATCGAGTCTGTGAGATAATCGAGCAGCACAGCGTCATCTTGGTAGTGATCCCACTCCGACCTCGTACCAGCTTTGAGGAACGAAGGGATTTTGTCCCGGCGGATGATAAGCGCGGCCTGTAAGTCAGATATTAGCGAGAAGCCGCGAGGGGAAAGGGGGGTAAAAGCAAGCTTACTGTTACGCAGTACCGGTGGGTAGCTGTTGGTCCCTGTAGTTCATCTTGTCAACATGGCGAAGGTACCTGCCCTTACTCTGGACCGAAAACTTACCCAGTTGCCCTGATAACCCTCATATTCTTCCTGCCGTTCAACGCCTTCAAAGAACTCCGTAGCATCAAGAACATTTCTCCATTCCAACCCAATATTACGAAGTATTGGGCGCCCGCTCAGGTCCACGAGCACCTTGACAGATAAGGACTCGTCCGTCACATCCTCAATCTCATGAGACATGTCCGCCTCGTTAGGATCCTCCCCGAACCCATCCGAGCTGGATGCGTAATCCTCATACGGCACACCACACGAGTCGTATCCATCTAGACCACCAAAGTCACCAAAGGGATCGATTGGTCGCTTGCGCTGTCCACGTCGGTTCCGTTTCTTCTTCGAATACCGCGGGTTGCCCTCATACTCCGTCGGCCCCATCTCCATCTTCTCCGTCAGGGCCAGGAGGACGTCAAACTCGAGCCCCGCTGACAGCTCCTGCAGCGTCTGCACAACAGCCGCGTCTCGCCCCTTGAGCGCCTTCATCGAGATACTGGCCTCGGTGTACTCGTGGTCCAGACCATAGTAGACGTGGTCGGCCTCGCCAGCGTCAGGGTCCTCAAGCCACCGCCGGAGGGTGTGCCGCAGGTCGCGAGTCTCTTGCCTCCGCAGTCCCGCAGAGGGCCGCGGAGCCGCTGGGTTGATGGCGAGGTTGTACGTCAAGACGACGCGGTAGCCCTCCGTGACGGGCAGGACCTCGTGGTGGACGTCTGAGTACCAGCACGCAAAGGACTGGTCTGCTGCTGAGGTCTTGAAGGTTTTGGTCTCGCCGCAGTGCTTGACGACTACGTCGCCTCCCTTGTGGCCGCAGGGAAGGCAGATGACGAGCGTTCCGAACATGCCGGGGCATTTCTCGGTGCTAGTGGCCCGAGGAGTGTCAGTCATCCAACACGATATCTCACACACGATATTCTACGCGCAAAAGACAACACACGCAAGAGACCTACTCGGTATGAGCCTTGAACATGGCCCCCTTTTCATAAATCAACAGCTTATACAGCTCTGCCGTCACAGGCGACGTGACGCCCAATTTTTTCGCAACAAAAGCGCAAATCTTTTGCAAATCCGCAGGCCAGCGCGGACTCCGGAGCTCAAACTGCGAGGGATCCAGCTCCCATGTGTTGCGCACAGAGGTGTCGACAATGGTCTCGCTCCCCTTACCGAACGGAGCGCGGATAGCCTTGTCAATCAGCTGCCGTACCACCGGCTCCGATGGTGGCAGGCTGACAGGTCCAACATCCTGGACGGAGAGGTCTGGGTCCACGCGCTTCAGGGGGTGGAACGAGGCAAAGGTGCCCTGGGTTTGGATGCCAGCGAGAGCGTCGCTGAGGTCTTCATCAAAGGAGTGCTTCCAGTCCTCTGTGAGGGCGCTGCTGGCCACGGATGCTGCGTCATCATCGTGTTCGTGGCCGGCTGCGGCGTCTTCGGTTCCACTGGGTCTGGCCGTGGTCTCAATGTCGTTGGTGGTAGGCTCAGTGGTGGCCGCCTGAGTCGCGATAGCTTCAATCGCCTGGGGCTCCCCCTCAGTCTTAAGGACTGGGTCAACTGTGGGAGCCTGGGAATCCATCACGGCGTCTGAATATGCCAGAGGATTGGTCACACAAGAATAGAATAGAAGGAAGGCCCTCTCAGAATCAATCCTCACCCCCATAACCTTAATTGCACCAAGACGCGACGCGTTAAGGGGACGATATAAATAGTGGAGAAGCCTTGTATCATCCCTGTTGAGTAAGTACTGGTGAGGGGGATACAAGGTCGAACCTCCAGCACTGTCTCAGCTCGGAGACTTTCAGGTCGCCGGATGAAGAAAAATATCATCCATCGGGTAGAACTTAATTATATCGATCGAGATTATTCGATGCATCCGTCGAATGAATATTGCATTTATCTCGTCAGGCTTGTTAGGAAAGAGAAGTGAGCTTATCTGGATTGGGAAATTCCATCCCCAAGTGTGGTGGGAAGATACTTCTGAGGTTAGTCCCGGTACATTGGCTTGTCCCCATTGTTTCCCGCAGCCGATGTTCCCAGTGTACCGTCTCACATTTTTTACGCGTTCTCCCCTTTGGTCTGTGGGGGTCATTCGTCGGTGAAAGTGAGGCGTTAGCTCTCGGTGAGGCGGGCGTGGCAGACGGAGGTGTGCAACGTTCGACGACCCCCTTCGACGTCCACCTGTCCCCGAGATGCTGCTCAAAAGGGGAACTGAACATACATGGCTCAACCATTCTAAAATGCACAAAAGCTTACGACGAGCGATGGCCAATTTTGAGACAAACACGTTCGTATTCACCGAAGCTTGCATTCCAGAATCTGCTTGCTATCCATAATCCACGCAACGAAAACCTCATTGGAACCTTGTGTTTCGTTCCCGTTCCATATTTGTCCTATCCTGTCCAGCTGTGCCCCGAGGACTACAGCCTTCCCCCGAATGATTCCCAATCGTGGACAATTTCAAGAGGGTATCCCAAACTCCCGTCTGTACAAAATCAAAAACCAAACTTCAAGCAGAACCTTTCCCCCCAAGTATGACGTATACTGTGTTACCGCCCGTTCCCAGAATCAGAAGCAAACAAAGTTATGAAAGAAGAAACCCCCTTCTTGTCTCGGTGCTGGGTATAAGAAAGTTCATTGGCCGGTTTATCCGTGTTTCATCAGGCCGTATTGTTTTTTACCAATGGGTATATCCGAGGTTGTATGTGTGCGTATCAAAGAAAAACGGCGGAAATTTTCGCCTCTTTGCAGAAATCCGTAAATCGCTAGGTTCATGCTGAGACGATCGCTTTCGCTGGCCTGGTCGTCGAATGCGTATGTTAGAAGGCTGTACATAGAAAAGTTTGTAAACAAAATGGGCGCCAGCTTGCGCGATCGGCGCGAATGGGTTGATGTCGTATCGGACGCTCAATGAGAGTAATGGTGTGTGTATGATGGGACTGGCCATCTTAAGAAGTGAAGTGATGGATAAGCTGCCAGGCTTGGTATGCAACAAGTTAGACTCATCCCCAGATTGGGGCGTTGCGGTACGCCGGCGAGTTGTAGCTGTGAAGGACTCGGTAGGGCTGGTCACCGTTGGCGTGAACGCTGCGGCCCCGGCTCCGGCTTCTGGCAAGGCCCGGCTGAATGGCGTCAGGGGAATGGTACTGTTGCTGTTCCCATTGTTGCTGCTGAATGTTCAAGAGTTGCTGCTGGTAGTAGCTGCCGCTTTGGCTCGGGCTCTGGTTGGTGGCTGGATGCCCGCGTGCAACAGGACCCCGGTACTGCGAGTAACTGTCGTAGCTTGATCGATGACGAAGTTGTCGCTGCTGCTGCTGATGACCCGTAGGGTTGGTCGAGGCACTGCGCGTGACTGGGTGATCGAACTCGGGGAAAGACCCATTGGTAGGGCGCCACTTGTCCTCAACCGTCACACGGCGCCTGGCGTATTGCTGCTCAAGCATCGTCATGCCCCTGCGAGGGCTCATTGGTGGAATGGGCGGCACAGCAAGAGCGTCGTCGAGTGATGCTCCTGTCAAAGCTGATGGGTAGCTGTGGATGGTCTCGCGACTATTCTGCCTCGACAAGGTCTGTCTTCGGCTCGCCTCGCCGGATGAGGATGACTGGGGGCGCACTGGGACTGGCTTTCGGGGACTTTTGGTGTTGCTGCGGGTGTGCAGACTGACTGGCGGAGAAGTCTTCCTCTTCACTGACATCTCGGGAACCTGTAGGTTCTGAGACGCGAATTCAGAGTGGCGGTTTGTCGGAGGCAGAGGCTCGGTGGGACGGGATCGCAACCCAATCTCACGTTCCATGTGCGCCGGCATTGTCAAAGTGCGACTGTGTTGGGCATGAACAGGCTGCTCCCGGGGGAGCGCCATGAAAGCTTGGTCGAAGGCACTCTTGCCAACACTCTCACCGACATTGTCGATGGCCGTGATGCTGGACTCGAAGCCGACCTGGATCTCGTCGGCTCTGGCTTCGCCGACAAACTCGGCCTTGCTCACGCTGCCAGAAGGCACTGGCTTGCGGTGGATAGAGCGTCGTGGCATGACGGAAGCGGCGGCCTGAGCGAACGAGGCCGGCATGGTCTGGAGAGAGCGGCGGTAGGGTGACTTGGGCTTCTCAGACGGTCCAGAAGTTTCTGCCGTCACATCCCTCACAGCCTGAGGTACGTCGACCAGGGGGACGGAACTGCGCTTGTCCTCGGCATGACCGGCATCGAAACTTCCTACACTGAGAATCGTCTTGAGAGTCTCTTTGCTGGCCTGCGCACGTAGGGTCAAACGCTTGGCTGTGATGGGAAACCGGCCAGAATGCTCCTCAAGCTTTGACTGAACATCCTGGGGTACCGAGGGAATCTCTTCGTCGGACGGATGCGTTGTGTGAACGGCCGGAGGGCCTCGCATGCCAGATCCGCTGAGAAGTCTTTGCAACTTGCCAGGTTTTTGCAAGCCATTGCCGATGCTCAATGAGGAATTGGACTTTTCGGATGTAGCTCCGGGTGATCGAACGCCCGCCGGAGAAGCGGGGCCCTGTTCAAGCGTTTGAGTGCTGTCAAGCAGCGCCGGGGACTTTCGGTCCTTGCGGAAGGAATGACCGGCGCTGAGGTTGAAGAAGAACTTGGGCGATGTGACCGTCATTGTGTTGCTAGTCGGAGAGACGAGGAAATTGTCTTTCGGGGGCAGCGACGGAGGAATGGAGGGGGCAGATTGTGAAGGATCAACAGGGCGGTTGTCAGCATTAATAACACTGAGTTGCAACCTGCCACCGCTGACGGCTGCGGTTGGGGATGCGACTGAGTCTGACAGCTCATCGCCCGAATCCTCCGATGCGGCACGGCCAGTTGGACGGCTGCCTGCAGAAGGTTGCTTGGCATGGAACGACCTCAGCGAGACATTCGAACTGTAGCCGGAATCGGCCTTGGAGAGCGGTTTGGGCTGGTGCTCGGTGGTCGGGCTAGCAACGACTCCACTGTCGGCGCGAACAATTGCTCGGGAATGTTTCTGAGACTGGTCCGCTTTCAGTTGCTCGAGACTTGGCTTTGCGTTCGGGTCATTTCTGACCGTCAGAACCTCGGCAGAGTACTCCATTTGCACATCTTCATCTTCTTCCGCAAAAAGGTCGTCTTCCATGGCTGTGTGCTTGGATGATATTTTCAACTCTGGACTGAATGGCCTATATTTGAGTCAGCGTGAGCCGTCTCATGGTGCCTTACACAACATGGCGCCGTCTGCACGAATTGGCAAGGGAGACTACTAACGAAGTTGACCGACGCCTCTGCGATTCCGCCCTTAGAACCGAAGTCTTGATCGGACTGAGCGTCTGCGAAGTAGCACTGGCTTGCACTGTTGAGACCGTGATCTCGATTTCCTTGCTCTCAAAGCCCGCCCCGCCCGATCCGTTCTCGTGACTGAAATACTCCTCGATAGCAACCATCTGCGACTTTTCCGCTATGCTGGCCTGGATTACTGGTTCAAAGTCCGGGCTTGGAAGCGGGCTGGCCTCTCCGTTCGTGATCCGCAGCGAGCCAAACTTCATGGCTCCAAGCGGCCGATAATCCATATCAGAAGGGGTCAAGGCTCTTTCGACAGGTTCTACCACTGGTTCACACAGATACTCGGGCTCCGAGGCGAATCGCTCAGCGACGTATTCTTCCAACGTCGGGATCGGATATGCGCTCGAGTCGATCGACAATGAGTTCATTCGCGACCGCCCTCCTGCCGGCGTGGTAGGCATACTGTGTCGTACGCTCGACCGTCTAGATGAAGGGTATTCTGATGGCATTCGGGTCGCAAGACCTGGAGTTTGGATCATGGAACGTCGCCGTACGGGTGCATACAATGCCAGGTCTGAATTGGCTCGAGGCAGGGGCAACTGTGCGCTGACTGATTTTGCAACGACTGGCTGTGGCTGGAGCGGATGTGAACTTTTCCAAGTATTCGCTGACACCTCGAACTTGCTTTCAGACACCATGGAGTTCTCTTCGCATGCGGTGAGATCTTCGTTGAGGTTGAGAAGCCTTCTCGATTCGTATGACATGAGGTTGTAGTTGATGGACTGGCGATTCCCGGGAACATGCCAGCTAAGTCACCGTTGGTCAGTGATTGCGAAGAAAAATGCTGTGGAGTTTGCCCATACCTTTCAACTTGTAATTGCCTGGAAGTGTCCATCTCCTGCTGACTCTCCCAGGTCATTGAGTTTGCCCTCGACATTCTGTCTGGAACGGGCGGGCTCAGCACCATACTTTCCCTGCGTTTCTGCTTCCTCGGCTCTTGAGAACTCTTTGATCTAAACAAGCTCGCTCTGCGCTTCCAATCCCTCGCAGGTTTCGCTTCTGGTTCCGCCATAGAAGACGTGCTGGGTGCTCGGGCGACTGCACCAAGCTGGGATCCAGCGGGTGCGGAAATCGGTGACGGTGCAGGCGAAGCTTGCTCGGGCAGAAGTCGCGAATTGGATCGAGAGGGTGGCAAACTAGCGGATGCGGCACGTTGTATGCTTAATTGGCTGGGGGCCGGTAATTGGGGTGTTGGAGAGGCATGATTGCCGACTCTAGGTTTTGATAATTTGTGAGGTGACTTTTTGTTGCTGCTTCCACTTTGCACATGTGAATCATGGAGCGTCTCGGTAGATTGTGCATTACCCATCTTGACGTCGTAGTGTGGGATTTTGATGGTTCCCTAGTACTCAACCAGATGGCAAAAGTTTGCAGTCGGGTAATCGCCTCGAGGTGGAATGGGATGCGGATGGCGGTACTCGAAAACGGCCAGCCGATGGAAATTTGGTTACGATGGCACTGTTGAAACTGCCATGCCGCGCGAATCGTTCTGGGATTATCGACGTTACTTCGTGGGTGTTGAGTTCTAGAAAGGTTGGGTGGCCCTCGAAGTACTCTCTGCGGTGGTGAGTGAGGATGGAGAGATGGTCTGATATTTGTCGACACTTTGTGAGCTGTGCTCTGTACAATGCTCCGTACCAAGCAGAAAGACTTGAGGCGACAATGGGGACAGCCGCAACCAGTGAAGGGAATAAGGAAAGGGGGGAGGCTCGAGGAGTCTAATAGATCACCACCGGAGACCAGCAAGAAGAGAGAAAGGCGGTGGTAAATGGTGGGATAGGCGCAATTAAAGAAGAGGTGGTTTGGGTCTGAGCATTTACCACCGGACCAGACCGAGCGAAACGTCTATCGATTTTGCCAGCTCCACATAAGGGAATGCCTGGTCTGTTAACAGAGTCAGTTGCCGGGGTCAGTGGCGAGTTGTGCAGGATTATACAGCAGCGGCAGGCATTCGTATGCGGGAACAGGTGTCTCTGTCTGGGGAGTATTGGACGGACAGCGACGGTCAAGGGCCGGTGCGAGTGCAGCAGGAATGGGCCTCAGATGGCATCTGAGAGATGGACATGGACACCGACCGACAGGAAACCAGGAGGTGGAACTGACGGTGACGACGTACATGGTTTGAGACGCGCAAGGTGGGTTGGGGCACGGCGGAAAAGGGTAGAGTACCGCCTGCGGCAGCGAATGGGCAGGGCTGTTCCAAGTTCCAAGACTGGCTCGTTGTTGGCCCATGCAGGGCTGTAGTGGCATGCGTCTTGGCCGGCGGAACGTGGATGAAGAGGTGCGTTGGTGTGGTAGGGAGGGAGAGTGCCAAGTGGTGTCGGACGGCTATCCCCAAGGGTGTAGCGGCATCAAGTTGCATCGAGGACCCAGCAAAGGCGGAGGCGAGACACAAGAGACCAACAGGACGAGACGATGATTGGCGATGCTGGATGGCTGAGGTAAGGTTAAGGTGAGGAGAGATGCTGGTTAGGTGAGGGGGGGCCCAAACCAAGACCAGCAAAAGAAGCCAAAGGTACCGTGTACCGGCGACAGTTCATGTTGTGGGCGCGGCCCGGTTCAAGATGGTGGATGGTCAATGGTGGATGGACATCCAGACGGGATGGAGGATGATTAGGTATGGTATTTCGTCTGATTGATGCCATTTTGCGGTCTGGCCGGGGCCTGGGTATTACAACCTCGGCGGAGACTAGACTAAAGACTGCCCTTGTCCTGCGGTTGAAAAGACTCCACGCCGGGCGTCCAGCCTCTATCCACAAGCCCCCCATCTTTGAATGGTGTTTTGTGCAACCAGCAAAACGTTTACCAGTCCGGCGTCTTGCAGACTGCGATTGCAGTACTCCGTACCCGTACCTATTATCTGGGGTCAGCCACGGCCGTCCGTCCAGTCCGGTCCACGGAGAAGCTGTCTTTGTGTCTGCTGAAAGGCTTTTGCGCTGCTGGCTGTGCTGTAATATGCAGACGCAGTAGCAAATACGGATACTCTGCCCCTCTCTAGCCCCTCCACTGCGGACGAAAGCTGTAATAATGATCTATCCGTACTGAAATGATCTGACACAGTCGGGTTGACCAAGCGAGGCTAGGGTGGGGTTTGATTAGGAGCGTCCGATATGCAGGCAGACGGGCAGAACGGGCACGACGGACAGAGTGCAGATCGGATATGAGGTGAGAATGATGCGAGGAGACTGGCGAGGCGTCATTCCATGTCTTTGATGCGCTAGGGCGGGTAGGTAACTCAAGAAGCAAAAGCTCAGCTGGAGGGAGTGTCAGTGTAAGTGAAAAGAGAGAGCGTGACGGACAACCAACACGGCACGAGGGAGTGTGGCACTTGTGGCTCGGACGCATGTGGATGATGCATCCGGCAGAGTTGATTGGAGTTTAATCGACGACATGACGCCTGGATCGGGGTTCTGTCTTGTCCTGCGATGACTATCCGTACATCCGTACGATGTACCCAAGCTGCCAAGGTTGACGTCGATAGAGAGAATCGTCGATAGAGAGAATGAGCGCGGCATAGTATGTACGGCAAGCTTTAGCCATTGCTGCAGAGACCCTGAGTCTTGGGAATGTGCATCTCTTCGTCGTCATCATCATTTCAGTTCAGGTTGGTGGTTGCTGATGAGCTGTTCGTTTGAGACGAGAGAAGACAGGAAACTAGCACTTGAATTGCATGGTGGCTTGCACTTGCCCGTCTTTGGCGTCCTCAAGCCAGCTCGGGATCCCAGAACCGGGTCAACCCCGCTTGCCCGCTTCGCACGCCATGAGGCCCAAGGTTGTCCCGTCGTGGCTTCTCATGGGATGTAGGTAGGTACTCAGGTACTTTTTCTTGCTGAGGCGTGCGAGGCAGGAGGTACCTCTCAATCTCTCAATCTCTCAAGGCTCCCATTCTCCCAATCTCAAAAACTTCATCCGCTTGGATGGGGAATTTGGGGGCGTCAGACTCGCTCTGAACGGCGTCTTGGGCTTGTTTTAGCGGAAAGCCAATCGCTCGGGCTCCAAGATTGTAAGCTGTCTCTCATGGATTCCCGCCCGCCAGGGACCCGGAAGGACGTCTTGTCATGCAGTAGAGGCCCAGCTGGCAGCAATGGGTGATGATCTCTCGTGGCCATAGCTATCCTATTGTCCAGTAGACAAGCTGTGAAGGCGCGAGCTAGGCTATCTGCGTCGTTATCTGAGCTGAGGCATATGCCGGCTGGTGTTCTAGATGGGCCTTGTTGCTTGATGAAGGCGCAAATCAAGGCCCAAGTGCCGGATATGTACCTCCGTCACTAAGTGGCCATGGAGCCATGCCGCCATTCTGGGGTTTTCTCTTTCCAATTTTCAGTCTCAGGTCTTTGAGAAAGCCGCATTAGAACAAGTAATTTGAATTTCAAGAGAAGAAGAAAATCGAAAAGGTTGGTACGGATAGACAAGGTAGGCGAATGCGGAGAGAAGCTCTTTCCCCCGCTTACATGGGCAGATTCTAGATCAAGCCACCACGTTGCGAAGCTCCTGCCTCCCTCGTGAGGTGCTGTTTCTGTTTCTGTTCCTGCTCCTTCCTGTTCCTGGTTTTATGCGAGCCGCCTTCCTCCAACCACCTTGCTCCTGCCGGTGAGGCAGGTGCTTCTGAACGTAACCTCATCCTTCCTTGCGTGCCTACCTTACCTTACCATCGAGTTCCTGCCTCGCCCAGATTGCTCTTCACTCTGGTTCGCTTCCATTGTCCAGTGACCAAACTGGCAGGCACCTCGGATTCTCTTCTTCCAAGGTCGGACATTTTCCCCCAGCCCATCCATCACATCTACTACCTATTCCCCCGATACCGACTCGCTTCCAAAATTCCTGTCTACCTATCACATTACGTGAGAACTTCCTGGATCGAGACTCGACTGTCTTTTTGCCTTGATGCAGCATACCAATACCAGATCTTGCGTTAGCTGGCCCGGTCATTTGCCATCTTTCCGTGCCCTCGTTTTCGTACGGGCCTACGGGGTACGGGGGTTGCGACGCCAACCTCTTACAATGGCCAGGTGCCAACAAGGATGCTTCCCCTCAACCATGGAAAGACAGAGACCAAGAGCAAGAGACAGACGCTGGCTGCTACGGATACTCACTCCTCTTGACGTCCTTTGCGTGTCCGTGGACAAGCACGACAAGTCAACTGTTCATCTCTGGTAGGTAGTCCCATCTCGGCCCCAGTCCGGGTTGTCTTGTCTCTCTTGCGCGGCATGCATCTCCCTTTCAACCACTATGGAACCTAACCCAACCTTGACGAATTCCTTACGCAGCGCTAGTGTAAAGCAGCAGTGTGGCAGTATCCGTCGTGCGGCGTACCATATCCCTCGTCTGAGGCTCAGATCTTCTCAGAAAGTGTGCCCGTTTCAGATTGTGCCACTTGACTTGATGGGTCAATCGGAAGTTACAAAGACCAGCATATCCTCATCAATTATACCCGGCTCCGTCGCAACTCAGGCAACATGCTTGGTCCACCAGTCCCCAACATCCCCGGTGCAGTTCGTGCATGCGAAGGGATGCCCGTCGTCGATCATCGGCCGCCAACAGCCACTCTTTCAACGTCGGACAGCGCTATCTGAGACCACCCACTCCCCGACACCGGCTCGTAAGTCGTCACTCTCGCCCTAGTGTCGCTTGCGATAGCAGTCAAAACTTGAGGAATTAGGTGTCGACATTCAGACGAGGGACAAGCAGCGTATTCGCTGCCTGCATCAAAGCACTGTATTTGGTACGCCATCACCCTTCTGTTCTGCTCAGATGACTGAGACATTCGCACTCTGTCTCTCATGTTCGGCAACTCCCAAAACACCGAGACAAGATACACCAATGGTCCTGCGATACGGACCGTGGACGAATGCTCTGGTATGGAGAACCTGCTCCCCGTCTAAGATAGCCTCACCAGACACCAAGGGCGGGCAATCTCCCCCACTTTGAATTAGCTCTAGTGTATTGCCCCGACGAACAAGGTTCAGGGGCCTGCGAAATTGCCCTTCCTACTCTGGCTGCTTCCTCGTTTAGAGCACAGAGACCGAGAGACAAAAGAGAAAAGACGACTCGTCAATCTTTCATCATACAGACAGAGCTCATTGTCCGAAGATGCAATATGCCTCGCCGGTTTCCAGTGTTACCGTCCCTCCACATCAAACGGAGAATGTCGACGAAGGATGCTCCGGCCCATTTTGCAAACCACGTGTTGGGAACGTCATTCAGACACAAAGGCCCTGTTTTCGGGCTCGGCTGCCCACGCTCAATTACGAATTGGCCCGCTGGGTGACACGGGCAACGGTCATGATCGAGATTGGTCATTCTCGTTCTGCAATGGCTGCACAACTACCCGTATTCCGTACGAATACATACTCCTACGACCTATTTTCCGAATGGCCGGATTGACAGCACGGTGACGGCTCACGCCTTCGCGGACAAAATCCTAGCGGCGTTGCACGGTTGCAATCGGCAAAAGTGCGCTTTTTTTTTTTGCTTTTTTTTTTTTTTTTTGGTCTATCTAGGCGCCGTAATCATATCCTGGCACGCCTGGCCTGCTTAGCCAGGACTCAGGAAAACCAGCCTCGGACGTGGCGAGAAACGAGACACTGCGCTGCTGCGATGCACTGCAACTCCTCCGCTTCCATGCTATCGTCCGTACCAGCGTGGACCGGTACTTGTGCCGCTCGACTCGCTGAAAATTCAGTATCAAGCGTTAGCACGAACCCCCCCCCCCCCCCCCCCCCCCGCGACACGCCATTGACTCTTGTTCGGCCGAAGGAGCAGACGGGTGTTCCCTTATATCTCTCGCGCTCCAAGGGCCATGACAGCTCGCGAGCGAGCAAACGACGGCCACCAGCGAAGTATCGACTACCTCACCAAGCTTGGGCGAAGGGCGGTGTTTCCGCCGTTCAAACTTATCACGTCTGCTATCGACCCGAACCCCACCAGCCCGCAGCACCACTGAGACTTCTAGATTGGACCATGGATTCTTTCCGGCGGCGTTTATCAGCATGATCCTTGTCTCTGGAGTATTATCCGTCTTTCCCTTTGGTCGAGGATGTTAGGTAAGAATGGGTTCTTCGGTGAACGGACTCTACATGTTCAACCGCCATTCGCCGTCTGATACTGCCCACTCACACGAGGGAATCCTCCCCGTTGGACCCAACTAATGCAGTTTCTTCAAACACTCGATTGTTGCCCGTCGAATCACAAGAAGTCGGAGCCACTATGATGATCAAGCAGCACCGACGGGATGTGTTCCTTTTCGGAGCAGCTTCGGAGCACATTGCAGATGTCGGCACGGCAAGCTCCATAAAATAAGGCCCGATGATCATGCAACCTGAAAAATGCCCGCGCCGCGAGCCGTTGCTGTTTGGGCCAGATTGATCCACGAGGCTATCTTGTCGAGTCTGTTCCCGCTTTGATAGTAGGTGAGCGATCAAAGCTCTGCAGCCCAGCAGTCCGAATTTCCAGGCTGTCTGTGAGCGCTAGGACGCCCGAATTTCGTCCGTCTATCTTCATCTCATGGCCTCCTTCCCGGCTGCTGGCAGCAGTATTTGCGACAGCAAGTGTCTGGCTCCAAGCATGGGTTTGGACGATGGCTCCCAGAGACTCCAAAAAGCATCGAGTCATTACCGACCTCCTGCAAGGCTTGACTCGAGACCAGACGACCGAGGTGTGTTAGTCTGCGAGGTGTTGCTTGAAATCGCTCAGTCGCTGGCGAAGGGGGGAAAACTTCGAAAAGGTTCAGTCCTTTGATCATGGCTAGGTTAAGAAGGAGTGTGTGCGACGAGTCGCGGACTATGTGACGTGGACCACGCTTGTGCAAGTTTCGCATGAAGTTGAGAGTTTAGTAATATGGTCATGTTTTCTTTTTTTCCGAGTAGCCGACGTATGCCGTGCTCGGTCAACTCTGAGGTGTCCAAATCGGCCTCCATGGTATAAGGAAGCGCGTTTGGGACTGTTTTGAGCTTGTCATCTATCAACGAAGCGGGAGATCTAATCGTAAAACAGTTATTCCACTATCAACGCGAAGCGAGATGCAATGGAGCGGCGTCTAATTGATATCATTATAGCCAAGCCTCATGTTCACGTCTAGTGTCCCTGAAGATTCGGCCTCTTCCTGAATACAAGCCGAGGGCGCCGTCGCCGAAGCTTGACAACATGCACCTGTCTTACAAGCGTGCGGATATACCTACCTAGAAGTCGAGTCAGGTACCGCATTGAACAGACGAAGCCGCCTCGTGGCCAAGCAGGTTGGGAGGGTCCTATGGCCTTCCGGAACGTTTTGATCACCATGCCCCTGAACGAGTCGGGGCGGTCTTCGAGGCCATCGCGCACGGGCAAAAGATTTCTCCTTGTTTCAAAGCCGTTTCTTTCACGACGAGTGCCCAAATTCTATTATCCTGCCCTCGTCCCAAGCAGAAGCACCAACTTCACCACTGGCTGAGATTGCTGCTTCCACGGTGTTGGTCTTACCTTAGGGATAGGACGCGTGGGAAAGATCAAGATCGATCACACCAGGGGCACTTTGCTTCTTGATCACGATGACATCTGGAAAGGCGTCTTATGCGGCACTAGACGGTCAAATAAGGGGACCGAAGCTCTGACCGGGTGTTCGGAGGTCCAAGTTAGGCATGAATCCCACCTGAGGGGGTTTTCGTTTGCCAGTCAAAGTCAAATCGGCCCAGTTTACGTTTGATGTCGACACTAGGTAACTGGGCTGTGGTGGAAAGCTCTACCTATCCCGCCACAAGTCTAACGGCCTATCCGACACAGGCCATTTTTCCTTCCTCTTCCAATTATAGAGTAGGTGAAATGACATGTTAGCCTACCCAGACCAGACTCTGCGTAACTGGAAAGAGGCCAGCGTTGAAGTAAAATACAGCACAATGGATTCGCGGATTAGCTATCATCTGACAGTACCGCAGAGGCAGGAAACGGTCACCAAAGCTATCGTCTCATTCTCCAATGACATAGGTACAGCCCTCGTCGCCAATCCAGACTTCATGCACGCGGCCGGCGTCTACGTCGATACGGTCGCCGACGCCATAAGTAACCTTGTCGGGGCTCTTGTCCTTGGGGTACGTGATGATAAAGTTCCCACGCAGGATCAGATGGGTCGTCAGACCACGATGCGAATGCGGGGAGTAGTGCGCGTTCCTGAGCTTTGATCGTCAGTTCGTGCATACTCGGCTTTCCCTTTGGGGGAGGCGAAAAGGAAAGCTACAAAAGGCAGTTGGGCATCACGTACGGTCCGTCGGTCCAAGTGAAGACATGGGGGAACCCCCAAGATCTAACCTCGGACTCGCTATCACGCTGAGATATGGGCTTATTGGGCATGGCTGCAACTTTTTGGCGATTTGCTGGCTTGAAGCTGAGTGGTAATGTGCGCAATGTTCAGAAGTTCGCTCGTGGCGTGGCAGCATGGGCGACGGAGGTCGACGGGCGAAAGCTTGCGATTACGTCAGAGAACATCAAACGTCAAGTCCTCGACCGGTCCGAGAGCTGTTCGCCGGCGACTCCGAAAGATGACGGGGCTTTCTCGAGAGACTGGGCTGGTGAGAGATGAGAGAAACCTCACTGAGAGAGCTCGTTGGCGGTATCGACTGTTCAAAACGCCGGTTCGGCTGCCCAGATGTGGTGGTGGTCCGCGTGCTCGAGTCTCGAGTCTCGAGAGTCGGCTGCAGTGTGGGGGAAGCCGACTTTTGGGTGCTCGACCCCCACTTGTCCCCCGAGTGCCCCGATGCCGTGTGGCAACTGAAAGGACGGTGGTTTCCGGGAGGCGCAGCAGCGGTGGCCGAGCAGAAGAGATGCATAGGCGCCGGTGGAAAATGCGTGTGTTGGTGGCCAGCAGCAGCAGACAAACACGGAGCACCGGCGTGGGCCCCGCCATGCCACCATGCTTGCTCACCCTTGGCGTGCGGGTGACAAGCTTGAGGCCCCCAGCTGGACCTATGCATTGAGGTGGAACAAAACGACGGCTCGACGGGACAGAACCGCCCCAAGGTTCTGTCAGGCCAAGTGGGGACCACCTGGGAATGCTTGGGTTTCTGGACTCCTGAAGACTGTCACTCTGTCACTCATTCTGTCGCTCACGTTCAGCTCTTCCCACCTTTTCGGTGTCCTTAATGGCTGCCTGGAGAGCTGTTCCCTCGGCCTTAGCATGCCCATGATATCACTTTGTATGGGGATCATCCCTCCCTCCATACGAAGCGGCAACGCCTCCACTAGTTACGACATAAGGTATCCGTACTCCGTACTCCGTACCCTAGGGTATACTGACGGTTTCCACCCGCTTTACGGATGCTATGTTTAGCGCATCTCGAACGGGGACCGCGAAACGTCAATATGGAATAGGGGCAAGGCTGGCTAGCAGGCGACAGCTGTCTCGAAGCATCAGCCGTACTGCCGTTTTGCCGGGTCCTGTGACAACGTCAACAATGCTTCGATCTTTGTGCGGACAGTACAGCACAGCAAACGACGCATGATGAGTTGTATTGCTAAGGTGCTGCAGTAAGCATCTTGTGGCAGGCGAACATGGCTGAGTACTCACATTTCGTAGCCAAAGTACGTCGGGCATTGAGCCTCTCAGTGTGCCCTACGAAGGCAACACCAGTCTGTCAATGATTAATCAAGGCTCACGTCCAATGGTTCCGAAAGAGGCACCCCGTAAGACAGACAGGGCAGACTGCAATTGGGGGCCAAGACTAGCTAGCCCTCTGCAGATGGATTCAGTGTGACGTTCCGCTCCGCGGTGCAGGGAGAAGAAGAGGATGGAGAGAGAGAGACACACACATACACACACATACGCGCAGACTCCGCCCCTCCAAGAACAAGGCATCACTGCTTCTACTTGCTAATATTCAGTATTTGAGGAAGATCATGAGGGTGGGTAAATGTGCCTTGGGCCTGGCACTCTCCAGTCTGACAATCATCATGCAAATCCGGTACCCAAGACAGACAATTATGAGAGAAACTATGCGGTACGCGTCACTGTCGCCCAATACCCGGCATTCTTGGGTCAAGGGAGAATGAGAAGAGACGCGAGTTCCGACGTGATCAACAACAAAACGAAACAAGTCGAGATGCAGAAGTCCACAACTCGAGAACCAAGGACGTGGATCCCGAGGAGGCCGTCCCTCAATGTCTCGATTCTGTGGGAGAGTCTCACTCTCACAACAGGCAGTCGAGGTAAGGAACACCACGCTAAAGGGCACCATCGACAGGGCACTGAGGGCAGTCGGGACCACCTACAGCAGGGATTCAAACCATCGGGGGGCAGTGCTGGCCCCTTCCCATTGGCCACTTGCATCATTCAGCACACCCATCGGACGAGGCTGTCCCCCCCTCCTCTCCAAGCGGGTGCTCTCCAAGTGCTCCAAGACCCCAAGTGCTAATGGAACGGGAACCCCATCAGGGCCATCACGTTGGATCACAGTCTGCTCCTGCCCACCCCTGTCCTCAGCTATGCTGACATGCATATCCACGCTTCCCACTCTCGTTGAAATTACCCTTTTGCTGTGGTCTCTCGAATGCCTTCATTTCTCGAATTTCCTCTAATTCTCGAAAATAATCCTAAACTCTCGTTCAACTACCACCCGTATTCTTACACTTCCGTTTCCTTCGTCTCCTTCACCATTTCTTATCCTGTCCGTCCAATGGACTAATGATTATATCCAATACGCTCTCCGAAGCCGTACCCCTCTGACCCCTAGAACCAGAGTAGGCTTAATTGAGCAAAGAATTACCCCCCTTCCCGCGACGACAATCCGTCAGCCATACACCTAACCGATTCGGTAAACGCACACACAGAGCAGAGAGGAGGCTTCAACCCGGAGGCAGGCTATTAAAGCCGCTGCAGCTCGCCCGCCATGTGTCTCTCTGTACGTCTCTCAACATATCCCGTAGGGGTTGCGCTCAATGCAAGGCTCCGGCATTGGCAACGCCCGCGTATGATGCCTTTTCCTGCACTTTCCCAAAGCCTGTTTGACAGCCTCCAGCTTGTGGTCAATTGTCAGACAAGAACTAACAAACCTGGCAGTTCTGGCGCCGTAGGACCGCCCCGAGCGACGAAAAGACACAGAAGAAGCGAACCCTCACGATGCCGCTATGGTCCTCCTCCAACAAGACCTCCGCCAACACCCTCAAGAAGATGGTTGGCCTCACCACCCTCCTGGCACCTACACGAGACGGCTTTCACTTCCCGCCCGCCTCCCGACCGATGCCCATGATCAACATCACAAACGTCGACGGCGCCACCGACCCTTCATCCTCGTCATCCGCCGACTCGGACCCCAAGGAGGCGGTCGTTTCGCCTAGTCCCGACGAGATCCTGCTCAGCCAGGCCAGCCGCGACCGTTTCGAAAAGATATTCAACGACCTACGCTCCCGTCGCTCTTCATTGTCCCGCGAGCCTTTTGTTACCCGCGACCAACTGCTCGTATTCCTCGAGAATACCCAGGGCGAGACCGATGTCGAGGCTGTATTGCCTGAGAGTCAGCAACGATACAACTATGGCGAATTCCTGGAACTGTGGTGGAGAAATTACGGCTGGGATGCCACCCGTCCAATAAAGGAAGAGGACAAGGACTTGAGCCGGCCCATCACAAATTACTTCATCAGTAGCAGTCACAACACATACCTGGAGGGCAACCAGCTTGCCTCCAGGAGTTCACCTGAGGCTTACAAAACGGTATGTAGCCCTATGCTTGCATCTTCTCGGCAGAGAGAGATATCTTCTGACACGTGAAATACAGGTTCTTCGCCGTGGATGTCGATGTATCGAAATCGACATCTGGAACGGAGACACCCCTATCACGACACAGGAGGGCAGCCGCTCTCCCAAACCTGACCACTCGAGGAATCTCTCTGGATCATCCCTTCCCAACGTGGCTGCGAGCGTCAAGGAGACGGTAGAAGATCTCCTAGTCGAACGCAGCACGAACGGCAATGGCCACAACAGAAACACCAGCAGTGCCAGCAAGTCCCTGAATCCCCGCGATAGCGCCACTCTACTGGGACCGAGCGAGTCCACCGAGTCTCTCGGCAAGACTCTACGCCCCTCGTCTCCGACTCCCTCTATGAAGAATCGCCTGTCGTATCCCAAAGATGAACCCATTGTCACTCACGGCTGGACTCTGACAACTCCCTGCGGCTTCAGAGAGGTCTGCAAGGCCGTCCGCGAGTCCGCTTTCGAGACGAATGAGCTACCCCTGATTGTCAGTCTCGAGGTCCATGCCGACAAGGAGCAGCAGGAGGTGATGGTCAGAATCATGAAAGAGGAATGGGAAGGCATGTTGATTGACAAGTCGTGGGAGGGCATTGATCCCCGTTTCCGCCTGCCCAAGCTTGAGGAACTGAAGCGCAAGATCCTCGTCAAGGTCAAGAAGGCGCCGAATAAGATTGAGGTGCCTCCCAGTACGACAGCCCTTTCGCAAGTATTTGCCAACGACGAGGACGCTTCAGGGGGTTCCGACGATGAGAAAAACAAGGAGGCACCGAAACAGGAGACGCCGAAACCGCCCTCTACACCTAAATTCGATGCCCCGGCCAAGGTCCATAGTGGAAACGAGCCGCCCAAGAGCACAAAGGTAGCCATTTGCCAGGCACTCAGCAGTCTGGCCATCTACACCCACAGCGAGCACTTCAAGAGCTTTGAGACGCCGGCGGCTAAGAAACCGAGTCACATCTTTTCGATAAGTGAGAACAGGATCCTGGAACTGCACACGACCAAGGCCCGCGAGATGTTCACCCACAACAAAAACTTCTTCATGCGAGCGTTCCCCAATGGCTCGCGCGTCGACAGCTCCAACCCCGATCCCAGTCTCTTCTGGCGCAAGGGCGTGCAGATGGTTGCTCTGAATTGGCAATATCTCGACGAAGGAATGATGCTCAATGAGGGCATGTTCGCGGACGAGCTGGGATGGGTCCTCAAGCCCATTGGATACCGGAGCTCTGACAAGGACACGCTGACAGAGGTCGATGCCGCGCCGCAGGGCGATTTGGAGCTCACTGTCACCATCATTGCTGGCCAGCACATCTTTGTCGACGACGATTCTGCCAGCGACAGCAGCCGCGGCAAGCGCCTCCGACCATTTGTCAAGTGCGAGTTTCACGTCGAGATTGGCGCGCAGAACGGAAAGGCTGCCGACGAAGACGACTTCAAGCTCAAGACGGGATCGAAAAAGACTGATCACCCTGATTGGGAAAATGGGGCACGACTCAAGTTCCCCAAGATCTCGAGGGTGGTGGAAGAGTTGAGTTTCCTCAGGTAAGAAGACTCACAGTTTCGTTTCGGGGGGGGGGGTTTTTTTTTTATTTTTTTTTATTTTTTTGGTTTCGATTCCGCTTTCCCTCCGGCAGCAGCATGCATGTCTTGGGCTTACGAGCCTCGACGATCTTTTGAAACTATGACTCGAGAAGACGGTGAAAAGATGTGCGCGGCTCCGCGCCGGCGTGTCCGACCTGCAAGACTAGAACAGCTTCCGGCGGTGTAACGTTGTCCGAAGTCGTGACGGCTCCCCGACCCCCGGGAATGGCCTGATTCACATTCGGATGCCATGCCGGGACCCGTCGCCGCTCTTCGTCATAGGCACAAGACGGGAACGCTCGTGGAACGAACTAGGGTCGTCGAGCTCCTCTCCCTTCCATGCAGTGTCACCGTCCCCTTCCCGTTCACGAACCGTTAACCCGTCAATACTCACCTGCCAGGCGGGCCGCTGCGTTGACAGCCCGGGCCGCCGCACACCGCAACGTTGTTCTTCTTTTCTCCCACTTCTCTGCATCCTGCGAATAGCCATGACCAAGAAAGGAAACCTTGATGATTTGTTGCAAGAATGATTTTCACTAACTCGTGTCTGGCCGCGCAGATTCAAGATTGAGGATGACCCACTCCTCGGCGGCGACGAGCTTCTATCGTGGGCATGTATCCGCCTCGACCGTCTCCGTCCCGGCTTCCGCTTCATCAGGCTCATGGACACCAAGAACAGACCGATTGAAGGTGGCAAGCTGCTCGTAAAGATCGACAAGGTGGTGCGGTAGAGCCCCGTTGTCCCGTCCCGTCCGTCCGTCGTATACCGTACCCGGCCTATGGGCAGAAGCGAAAAAGCTGTGACGCGCGCGATGTGGCAGACATACTAGCAAGGAAAAGCCTTTTCCCTTTTTGTTCTTTTTCTTTTCCCATGGTTCTGCGGGTTTCCATGGGAGGAGACTCCGATATCCTTTTTTTGAATTACACGGATGGTTGTGGCGTTTGACATGGCGTTTAATTCTTCTTTTTTTTTCTTTTTTTTCTTTCTCCTTTTCTCGAGGCGAGCGATACCTATTTCCCCTACTACAATCTTGAGTTTCAGGTTTTTTTCCCAACAAGCCACATTTTCTTTCCTTTTCTCTAATTTCCTTTTTCGGAACATACATTGTTCGCGGCACTTTGGGAGAGGCTCCTGTGTGTCTCGGGGAGGGTTGGGTTTGTGTTTTTATTTCTATTTTTTAATCCAAGGCACAAGGCAAAAATTGAGACTTGGAGGGAAAACAATGAGAGACAGACAGGTCATTCTCAAGAGTCATGAGAGTCATTTCCTTATTTTTAGGGAGGCGGTGGTGGCTGAGAGAAGGAAAATCTTTCTTTTGATGAGGTCAGAAGACTGTGAGCAGGAGACAGGATTATACGTGAGAAAGGATAGCCTTTGAGTAAACCATGGTCACCGAGATGAGACACGCAGGGGGGGGGGGAGAGAGAGAGAGGGAGAGAGAGAGAGAGAGAGAGATAAGACAGGGCGCAAAAGGACGAACAGCACACATACAAACACACAAACCTGTGGGGCGCCGATCTTGACGCAGAGAAGCGTGAGGCGGGAAGAGAAACCCAAATACCGTACGTAGTGGAGAGGAATCAAAGAACAACCAAGGGATCTCACCTACACACATCTCGACCTCCGATTTGGGGGCCAAAGACCTAATCCGTGTATGTCGTCGCTTCCGTGTGACCTTCTGTCTCTTCCGTCAACGGCCGACCTCCCACATCTCCCTCCCTAAACGGTCTTATTCTTGTCCGACGTGACCGGATCTGGGAGGAACATGTGCCGGCTACCTTGAGGTTTGACCGCCGCCTCTGAAAAAAGATCTGTCATTTGTGAGTATTGACCAACGACGAGTGAAGATATCCCTTCGTGTGGTACAGGCAGGCTTCTCCCTCTGTATTGCTGTGTAGCAGTAGAATACGACAGATTGTCACTGCACGTAAACGCAGAGTCAACGGGAGCGGATACCTGCCAACCTTGCTCGGGACATGCAGAACGGACAATGCATCTCGTCAATGACATGTCGGCCGTATCGTCGACCCATACCAACCGCTTTTCCCCCGTGTTGTTCTGTATTATCTCTCTGCAAGGGTGATAACCATCAGGGTAGCTGTCGGTTCCCATCAGCATGTCGTGGATCATGGATGAGATTCTTCTTCCTGCTTCACGTCGCACCTGGGCAGACATGCTTCTTGTTGTACGACGCCGGGAAGGACGACAATGGACTAGCGGACCAAGGCAATCTCCTCTCAAGGGAGTACGATGTCATTATCGAGACTGTGTGTGTAACCTGGAAAGAAAGGGTAGATGACGGTGGAGGGTTCCGAGTTGACGGGGCATCGTATCCGACCACCGGTAGACCCATTCCCTGTTGTCGACATCGGATGGAAAAAAGAATACTTTCCTCCTGCCGCTTTTTTGCCGCTTCTTCGACGGGAGTCGGGCTCGTTGAGCCGCCGTGTAACGACTCTGGCTCTGGCTCCACCACCCGTTTCCGTGCCAAGAGGACTGACTGCAGCTGGACTTTTACTCGTAAAGGCAAGGTTCTAGACTGCTTCCGTCCGCCCGTGATGCGTTGGTCGTCTGCGACAAATGAAGGCACTCATGAACCCACAACAATCCCAACCCCAACCCCGGCATGGGCTCAACAGACGACGCTGCAGCCCTGTCCGGCTCTTGCGGCTTGGCACCGAAAGATGCACGATTGGCAACCCCTTCCTGCCTTGATACCTAACCCGGTGGCACCAGTTGTGGGCTGCAGGCTCGGCATAAGGAAGTAAGCCACTGAAAAGAACAGATGAAGCTAAGCGGGAGTGCGTCGATCCCCAGGAAGTCTCAACCCGCTGTGGCGGTCGTGACGGTGTAGCCAAAGGCGAGGTTCCCAGTGTGGCCGTTGATTGTGAGACAAGTCATAACGTAGAATAAGAAAGACTGTTCCAAAGTTGTCCAATGGAGCCATTTCATCTTGCATGTCTGTAAGACAAGAAGGAATAATCGCCGTCATGTGCAATCATAATGCCGGACTAGATGCTATCTGGCGCGGGCCGACAGCAGACAACTTGTCAGTTATCACCAAAGATAGATTTGCCGGTGCGACTGATCTGACCAAGGGGGATCGTCGTGGAATAAGCAGCCTCGGCTGCAAATTTAGAGTAGGCATCTCAACACACCATCCTTGGCCGTCAAGATGACGCCAGGGCTAGATTGTTTAACTTGTAGCCATAGGAAGTTGACCGTCTCCCCGTCCGCAACGGGTACAAATGTCGACAAATTAGAGTTGAGAGTGCTATGGCACGATATTGAGACAGGCGATTGGTGGTTACCTGGCGTTGCGGGAACTAGGGCGGTGTAACAAGGCTTTTACCAAACGCCCAGCCCTCAAGCAATACTAGAACTTGGACATGACAAAGATGTCCAAGATACCTAGGAACGCTGAGAGCAAGGGTTCGGGAGGTGAGACATGCGTTTGTTCTGTCAGTTGGGAAAGTCGTCTGGCGGGGGCATCATCGAGATCTCTCTCTCAATCTAAACGTACCGTCGGGGATTGAGCCTCTGGATACTGGATAGTGATCAAGATGCAATAACCCGCCATTGTCTCTTGATTTTGTGACTGGCCATGTGGTACACTGGCCGGGTTGCTGCGGGCGGTTCCGACAATCTGGTCGACTAGCTAGGTATGCCTGTCGTCCATGAACTTGTAACCGAGGTTTTGGTGTTGTCCATGTAGATGATCAGGTGATTGAGGGAGAGATCGATCGCAGATCCGATGGAGCTTCTAAACGGGGCTGGCTTGAGACTTGGGTCCCAGTCTTGCGTCAATCATTACTCCATACTCTCCTGGCGATGCCCATAAAGCGGTGATTACCATGTGTCAGAAACCTCGACTTCAAGACTTGGAGCGGTAAGCCATCAATCAGGCCATGAACGATAATAACCAAACAAGGAGACGAAACAGCCGTAGTCCCTGTTGAGAATTCTAGCGACTGGCGTTTGGTGTTTTTGATGAGACATAAGCCCATCAAAGCTGGAGACTGCCAAAACACCACGTCTCTCCGGGTGCTTGCATATACATATATATATATATATATATATGCAAGCATCCTCACCGCAAGGGACTCGTCGTTATTGATATGCGGCCGTGGAATACGCGAAAGAATTGTGAAAAATCTGTTTGTTCCCGTGCTTGATGCCAGCTCCGAAGCGACAACGGAATGTTTTGACAGGCAATACTAGTGCAGCCAAGTTTTCCGAAGCAAGGGCGGTGGATTGAGCAGCTCAATTGTGTTTGACTTAGACATTCTCGGTTCAATGCGATTCGCCCCAGACAATCATGGTCGAAATTCCCGACAGCAGAGCCTCTCGAAATTTCGCAGATTACGGATGCTACATCCTTGCGAGAAGATTGCCGCTCTTTTCCATGGTTTCACCACATTTCGAGCGCGACCAGACCGTATGACTGTTGAATAGCGACTGCGGAGGAGAGGATGTATTGAATGGGCGAGCAGTGAAGCTTTGCGGCGGGAGATGTAGTCCATGTGACAGGTCATTTTCTTCCGTTCGATTGCAGCCTCAATGAAATTAGCAGCGGAGGCTGGGACAATGCCGGGCATGTGCCGATTTTCGATGAGAGACTGACTGATCGACCGCGCATCTCGTCTCCGAGATGACAGGTCACATCGGCTCCTTGGTATGCTTGACGTCCACGCAGGAGGTGGGCATTGAAGCACCCAAACGGCCCCCGAATCTGACATTGAATCGCGTTACGCACAAAGCTGTCTGCACGAATATGCAGGTCAAATATTGGAGGCGTTGACTGCCAGATGAAGGCCGCAGGAGGTGTGTTGGTACGTTGTTGGTACGTTGTTGGTACGTCGGCTAGAGGTAGTGACCACTGACCAGTCGTTGACACTGGTTGGAGGCTCAGAGCGTGGCGTGTTCCGTTAGTGGTGGTCACAAATGACAATAATGGTATTTCGCCGAGAACAATCGACACGTCGATTCGCCTGTTGGGTATTTGAAACCAAGATGTGTGAGACATGAGATTGTCTTATGGTCCTCCTGGGCCGGCGCCAGCTAACATTGTCGGTTCACATTTCGGTGACGATAGAATCGGAATTTCTGAATCCAGACCCTTCGATGATTGTCGGTGAGTCTGCCCACATGCGATTTGAAGATCGCCTGCCATTGAATCGGTCGGTGTGGATTGGGCCACACCTGGCCTGAGCGGGACAAGCCGCGGCACCATACTCATCGAACGACGACGACCTTGAGCCTATGACAAAACTCGTGCCAAGCACCAAGGTGCTGGTGGCATTGCCTCAGACACACGACGGTACGTCTGCGAGAACAGTCAGGACGATGGCCCGAGGCCCGAAAACGTATGATCTCGTGTCTTTCGACAGGGCTGGTGTTATGAGGTGAAATGCAAAGACGTTGGAAAAGACCACTGCGACGTCACATCGTGACGAAACCTTGGCACATGTGTCAAGCCTCGTTGGCGTCGCTTGGACCAAGGGCGGGCTGTGGCACACATGCACCCTTTTGCGGTCTCGTATTGCGGTCTCGTATTGCGGCCTCGTCACGCCGCGGTAACGACATGTAGCGTGTGCGCACCGTAGATCGCGGGATGTGATGGCGGATACGGCTGAACGTCAAAGTCTACGCGGCCGATCACGGTGCGACCGCCTCGAACCAGCTTGCTGGGATGAGGCTAGGCTCCTGCCTCTTGCAGTAGTCGGTGAGCTGTGCAACAACAGGCAGCGCCAGGCCGGTATTGTGGTCGACGTTCGAGAGGGTGTGTCAGGATTGTCAACGTTGCGAGGTGTAAGTCCATCCACTGGAGCAGCCGTATCGCGAACGACGAGCGAGATCCCGCTAGCCTCGAATTGATCTCCTACTTGACGAGCAGAGATGGCGCAAGATGTTTACATTCCCAACAGACTTCCACTGAGGGGACCCTCGCTTCCGTCGAGCCGAGCTGCTCTTTACCCCTGGGTACGGAGTGCTCACGATAGTCCACGGGGGTGGGCACGGTGCGGAAAGCTGTGGAGGACACCGTTGCCCTCCAAGTCCAACGAGAGACTAGAGAGCCCATCGCCATTTTCGATCGATGAGCAGCCGAGTTGTTGCAGAACAGGACGCTAAGGAGTCTTGGTTGAGGAGATGGGAAAAGAGAAAAGCAATTATGGGCAAGGGAGGTTCATGGTCCGTGGAGCAGGGACTAAGAAAAGAAAGCGGACGGGTGCGTCGAGTGGAGACATTTGATTGGGATTCGAACCAAACGCGAACCTTGGGCCCCATGGGAAAAGAAAGAATGGAACGGATTATTCCATCAGAAAAAAAAGAGACAGAAAAGTAAATGTGACTTGGGGGAGAAGAGAGCAAAGCGTTGCGGCGGCCGGGTGTTTGCAGCAGAACGTTGCGGAAAACTCGGAGGAGGGTGGGCTACATAGCACACACTTCCACGGTCGTACGTATTCAGCTTAGAAGAAATGAAGGGATAGTGAGGTAAGGGAGTGGGAAGAAACCAAACGCAAGAAGAAGCTTTGGTATCATTGAATGGAAAGAAATGATGTAGGGGAAATGGGGGACCGATGTTTTGCTGGAAGTCTCATTCTCCTGCCATGGTTGGATCCACTGCGGTTTGGGGAGAGCTCTATTTCCTCACGCATTCAGGGAAAGCAGGAGGAGGAGGAGGAGGAGGAGGGGGGGGCAGGGAGCGCAAGGTAAAGAAAGGAAGCAGCACCTGACGCAAGGAACCACATTCCACGATTTGAAATCTCGGTAAAACTGAAGAAGACTTCGATGTCGATGGTCGACCCCGGATCGTGGTTTACATTCTTGGAAGTCGGAACTTCAAGGTACGTACACCTACACTCGCACACGCTTTCCCTTGGTCCTTGCAAGATACTTGACGGAAGCGACGTGGGAGGAGGAGACGCATGCCGTATTTCCTTCTTTCTCAATGTAAAGATATTTGTCCATCGAGGTTGCCGGATGTACATGCAAGAGAACGACTCGGCATATCTGTACGTCTTCCTGTTTTGTTCGTAAGCGGATGAAGCGCAGAGAAGAAAACCCCTCTCCTGTGAATTCTTTGGAGATTTGACGCGGGGGTCTCTAAGGTTGGTTCTTTCATCGCTTCTCCCTTTTACGCTTGCTACACACGTGTTGACCCCGCTTGAGTGCATTCTGGGCAGGGCTGGGCAGGAACTGGGGATGCTTCAACGACGACGTTCCTAGTTTCGTTCTCATATCAGAGAGGAGCTGAGCTGAGCCAGAGCTGCCGCGCATCGGAGCTTCAGCCCTGACACCTAGCAGCTGGGCCTCGGCGCTTTTAGACGACGGTCCAGATTTCACCATGTGACGGGAATGAATGATGATCAACCAAGTTAGAAAAAAAAAGCTAGATATGGCTGGGAAATTCGAACCTGGGGGTGGGTATTGGGATGAGCTGGGCTGAAAGTCTAAGGTCAGGCATGGTGAGATACGGTCGAGGTTCGAGATTCAGCTCGAGTCAAGGGCTATCCCCAAAAAAAGAACATGGGAACTCAAAAACCAAAAGTGGTAGGCAGTCATTAGTCAGGAAGTGAGTTGCGCAAGAGTGACGGAGTTGGGAGGGTAGGCAAAAAGGAAGGCCATTGATCAAACCGATACATTGTCGAAGTGCGAAGGAAAGGTGGGTATCAGATCTGGTAACATCTTAGCCCTGGGATCTAGGGAAGCAGGGGCGATGGCTTCCGCCTCCACCACCACTACCTACTTCCTCCTTACCAGACAGTGACCACCAGGAGTGTGGACTGTGTGTGGTGGGGTCGCACAACCATGGAACCTCTACGTTGACAACCGCAGCGGTTGCAAGATCCATCGGGCATGCAGCCTGGGTCAAACAGAAAAAGATCCCGGCATGTGTGTGTGTGTATGTGTATGTGTATGTGTATGTGTGTGCGTGTGCGTGTGCGTGTGCGTGTGCGTGTGCGTGTGCGTGTCAGTTGAACCAGAGCCTATGTGATTGGGGAGAACAAAGTGCGATATGTGAGGAGATGTTGGAGATGTTGAGCGAGATCCATGGATGCAGCAAAAGGTGTCATGGTAGTGGTGTGTATGGCTTGTAACTTCCTTTGAGTGTGTGTGTCCTCGCACGCTCAAGCCCATGGGCAAGCCACCAATCGGGCAGCCGCCGGCCACAATCATGGTCAAGGTGACGGGAGCTTCACCAGCCGCGATAAACCCCCCCCCCTCCCCCCCCCCCCCCCCGGGACGAACCAATAGGGTCATCCGAACAAGACAGGACCAGGGTCGTTGTCACTCGTTCATTGCTTTGCTGCTATCCCAAACTCTCTCTCTCTCTCTACGGAATATCCGTACCTTACTCCGTACTCTTGTCTGGGTATCTTTTTTTTACTCTGCGACATGCTATCCATACACTACTAAACACTTTTGTTTTTACGACTGCTCACAAACCCCCAATCCTAGGAATTGAAATATCCCGGCTTGCAGAAAAGGAACATATTCGAACTTTGTTGGGACTTGGAAAGCAACAACCAACCCTCTTTCGTCCTGACTCCTCCGAGGAGAGATGAACGAAAGGATCAGTCATCACACTCGTCACCTTTTTTTCTTAGCTGGCAAACAGAGTGTGTGATAATATAGTCCAGCTTTTCTTCCCGGGATTATATCACTTCGTACCCATCAAAAGGAGTCATTTTGCAACAAGTCAGTGCTTTCTCTACGGGTAGCCATACAAACCCTTCCCCGGCAAGCATCTTCCCTCGTTGGACGTTTGACACTACGGCTTCGACCTTTCGCCTTACAGGCTTCCCACTCACACACACACACGCGCGCACGCAACACACAAACAAACCATACATACACGTACAGAAGCTAATTATATGTCGTCTCTTATTGGATCTCCATTACCTTATTCATCTCGACGCAGTAGTTCGCACCCGCTAAAGACAGGAACTAGGTTGGGACTTATTACGTGCATCCCATCAGATTTTATCCAACAACGTGCACTCCAGAGATTCTCCAAACTTTATTGTGCCTTCGGTGGTAATCTGCATTGCTACTGCAACTCTTTTTGCTCTTGCTCTGTTGCAGGATTACGAGGCCCTTCTTTGATAGCGCCGTAGATAAATCCAGCCCCAAGTCCGTTCCCTTTTCCCCTCTCACTCTAGTAACCTAGTCCCCGTTGGGGGGGGGCGTTTACCAAAGCAAACGGCGCACGCGATACTAAAGGTATTTGCGATGGGACCTACCTATGGAGTACCAGTAACACCAATTCCACGACGCCTTTTCTTTTCCGCCCCTCCCCCTCCCTTCCTTACCTAAACTTGCCATGTTTCTCTGCACAAGGCAAGTGAGAAAAAGAAAAGAAAAAGTCAAATTTCAAATATTGTCCGAGCTACACCCTTAGTACCAAACCAAAGCAAAATCGCGTTCTCGCTTTCGTTGGTTGTTTCGTCATACCCCCATCGCGAGTGTGGAGTTCCAGAACCGATCTCCCCTCTCAACCACCCAAAAAAGGAAGCACTAGGGAAGAAGAAGAACCATGGTAAGAGAGCACCTTAGAGAAGGGGGGGCAGAGAGCCGTTTGAGCCTCCACGTCGGCTCTGGAAGGGGGTGGGTTGGCGACAATTCTGTAGGGGTTTTCCGTTGGCTACGGATACATGCAGTTCAAAGTCAGGGAATCCACGGGGAGGGTCTACTCCCATGGAATAACATGGGTCATTGTATCAAGTGTATATGGTTACACTATTACAGAGTTTCCCAAAATCTTTCTTTCTCCGCTCATACGTGCGTTACTGGGAGAGAGAGAGAGAGAGAGCAGAGAGAAAATAGATATGGGGAGGGGGGCATGACCAGGGGGGTTTCTTTCACGAAGATACCTTACCTTGCGCTTCAATGACTATGACCTTGCCAGGTGCCTACATAATCGACTCCCCTCTTTCTTTGCTGCAACTTTGGCTGCAAAGTCACAGCCAGAGAAGGAATTCCCCGGCGCGGAATCCCGGGGCAGATCGAACAGAGCTCTGGAACATCCACTCATCTGGGTTATTCTTCTACTCGCTCCCTGCTCCAATACCCCTGCCTGCACTAGCCTCGCGATCGACTGCTCGCCAGGGGCCAATGAGCAACCCCGGGAGGCATGGGGGAATTGGGATTGGGATTGGGATTGGGATTGGGGAGAGGAGGGGGGGGGGGGGGGGGGGAGCATCCGGATTTACAAGATTTTGAGAGAGAGAAAGAGACAAAGCCCTGGGAGGTGTGTGGTATCCGTAGAAAAGAATGAGCAAGTTGGCATCATAGCGCTCTGCTTCACCTTTGCTTTCCATTACTTCCGTGTTGCGAATGCCCTGGTAAGGTATCTAATTCCAACAAGGAGGATTCGGGGATATAAAAAAACGAAGAAACAACATGGTAAAACAAACCAAAAAAAAGATCCAGCCAACCTCTTTTTTGCCTCCGTCCGTCCGTTCCCTTAGACCACCCGGAGGAGCCGCCGCCAGCCGCGAGTTGCAACGTGCCTCAGCAAGCCCGAGCCGTGTCCCCCGTCTGGAGACTCGGAAAGGGCATGGCTTTCCATGGCTTGAGCTGGTTCGGCTCTGTCTTGTCTTACCACGAGTCCACGACACGACCAAGGGAAAAAAAATTGAAAATAAGAGTAAATGAATGGCTTTTTTGGTTTTCCGTAGAGCAAAGTACCATCTCGCACACAAACCCCCGATCCCCCTTCTCTTTTCCTTACCCCCCCCCTCAGACAGAAACCCAAGAACTAGCTCTACCTAGTCCTGCCAAGCCGAGGAAACATACATACATACAGACAGGCAGGCAGGCAGACAGGCCAAAAAGAAGGAAACAGAGACACCCGGATGCATGTACACGCAACTTTGCTCTCACACTACACATACACACCACGCACACACACACACACACACACACACACAAACGAGTACCTACCTTACGGTCGTTCCCGATGAACAATTCTTCAGCCATCACCATGGGGCCTGGTCCACCCCACCTTGTCCCCTCGAACAGAGTGATCCAAGGATCCATCCACATCCCCCATCGAATTCAAATCCTTGCCCATGCCTATCCTGGCAACCTGGCTCGCGCCACCGTCGTTCATCGCTGAACTGCCACTGATACGCCTCCGGGTCTCTGCTAGTCCCGCACCAGAATGTGATACCGATGTGCCATCTGCACTGTACCGGTCTACCGGCCTGGTTGGTTTCTTTTGCTGCTTGCTACTTTCTGCTGGCGGCCTTCCGCCGGTTGCTCGCCGATTTGATTATTATCAGATGGCACTGCCATATTTTCTTCTTGCACTAGTAACCAGAACAGGGACTTGGAACACCCGCTCCCGCCTTGAGCAAGTCTCCCTCGCTGTGCCTACCTGGTCCTTGCCCGTCTCGACGGCCCAGCTAGCGAGTGCTTTGTCCTTGTCGTGCGATTCCAAAGGAATCTGCCAAACTATAAGTATCGACGGTTGCCGCCTTGAGTTCTCTCGCCTTGTCCAGATCGCCATCATCGGACATTTTACAGGTCAAAGGACATCTCAGCTTGACGCACCACCTTCAGCCTCCATCAATAACACATCGACTTCGAGTGCCTGCCTGCCAACCAACCCCCACCACACTTTTTCGATTCCAGATCCTACGAACCACACAACAACCAACCAAGTTCGCCATCACATCTCGCCAACATGGTCTGCTCAAACCACTGCCAGGTCGACAAGACCGCTTTCCGAAACCAGCAGAAGCCATCGTCGTCCACCAAGAGCGGCTCGAAACAGGTGAGTGTGCATGGCTGCACCCCACGTCCACACAGGGCCCGAATTAACTCTCTTTTCTCAGCACCTTCTCCCAGGCATTCGCTGCCCTACGTGCCATGCCTCAGGTAAAGAGGTGTGGGTACTACCCGGAAAAGAGTGCGGCTACTGCGGCACCCCCTGCGGCTAAGACATCTCATGTGAGTTCTCCAACTTCTTCCCGCGTCATTGCAACATGTGGCTGTGAGGCTGACTCTTGTACAGCACTGAATCCCCCGATCAAGAGTCATAAAGCTGGGACTGCGATGCGATATTGGGAACCACCGAAACAATTACGATACCCCGGGACAACGGCGAACGGCGACACACAAGGGCTATAGATTGAGGGGTTGTGTGTGAGGAGCGAGAATGAGATGACCAAAGGGGGTTGTGCTTGTTCGATTACGAGGAATTCTTTTCATCCTTTTTTTCCGTCATTTTTTGGGGTTTATTGAAGGGAATGGAAAAAAGGGGGCAGATCAAAATCGATGAGTGGGCCAATCTGGGTACTGGCCCTGTAATGTTAACGAGCCATGTCTGTCCGATTTTCAGATCGGAATGTACAGTTGGAGGGGTAGAATGGGCGGGAGATGGATGAGCAGAGGGGTAAGAACAACATGGGCAAACCAACTGGCGCTTGGGCTTCGGGCTTGGAGGGGGAGTTTGGAAATGTAATGGTAGCCGCTTTCGGCCTACTTGCTTCAATCAGACACCATACAGGTTCTTTGTTCGTTTTCGCAACTCGTTTGAACCTTGCCTGTTTCGAATCGGAATTCATGTCAGAGGAGGTCTGGATACGGCGACGGGACTCGAGTGGTGTGTACCTTGGTACAGGTTCCAAACTCGATCTCGGAACCAAGAACGGAGTATTAGATGCAGACCGGCGACACCTGTATGGACCGGAGCGCATCGCATGGCCCCGATCGCGACAGAGTGCCGGACGGGACGCGGGAGGTGGCTTGCTCGGAGATAACACCGGGAGTGTGGTATTGGCTGTTGCTGAGCCCGTTTTTGCGACGAATGGACACAGTAATGCCTGTCGCTGCATGGGGGGAAACCGATCCCCCGAGGTGTGTATCGGTCAAGATCGAGGTGGTATCGCAGTTGGAAAGGGGAAAGAGACGATGAGTCGAAAAGCAAAGAGGTACTTTGGCACTGAATATCCAGTGCGGATTAAGGTAGCAGTCTCTCTGAACAGAGTATCGCGTTGGATCAAAACCTGGCAGGTGAGGGCGATTCTAATGACCATATTCAGTATAAGGTTGCGAGCTGCATCTCGTGCAGGCCTTTGAATGATGACAAGTCGTTTATGGATTGCGGCGCGGGTCCTCATAGCTGTGTCTGTAGCTGCGGACCGACGGGCTACAACGGGGATGGGAGGTCGGCGTGGAGGACGGAAATAGCGGTGATGCATGGCGGACCTCGGCGTTGCGTGGGTTCAGGTGGTTGTGTTGCGATCAGGTCCCCTATCAGCCCAATCGGTCCCGATTCCACGGTTCTACTGACACACACAGCTGTAAGGTAGCTTGGAGTTGCAAGCTGGGTCAGACTTGTTACACCAAACGGCGTGCAGGACGCACGAGTGGACGTCCTGCAAGACTCGACAGGGAGTTCAGAAGCCTGTCAAAAAGCAGGGCCGGCATCCAGGAAGGCACATTCCAGCTGAGATCCAGGTCCATGTCCCTAGCTTCGTAGCGTCCCAGCAAGTCTTGCTCTCAGGAATGACTGTGGGCGAGATGGTAAGTGTGTGGGTTGCCGGGTCTCTGACGGATCGTGACGGAGCCCTAAAAGGCCGCCTTGCGGAAGATGCCAGTACCTGGGTTGGCAAGGGAAAGATGATAATTGTATGAGCGGTCATGTCTCGCATCGTAAGACATACAAAACCGTCATATGTGACGGCACGGGTAGTCCTGGCCTAGATGCCATGGATTTGTTGCGCGGTGAGGACTCCCACCAGGTTGGATAGCGCCAGGCTGTGCGGAGAATGGAGATCGAATCGGTTTACTGAATCACAGCGATGAGTAGAGTAAGGTATTGATTGGGTGCATCATATGACGAGGCAGGGTATGTCTGCAAGCGCTGGTGATTTGTTCAGGGGTCGGCAAGCTGAGGTGGACGAGGAAGAGGAGGAAAGGAAGGGTAGCTACTACACCGGTGTGAAGAGACGATGCTTGGCAATGTTCACCGTTAGTTTCGGAGGGGTGGACGTTTGGCTTCAGCACAGTGAAGTTGCGAAGAGGATGAAGGAGTGGAAAAGTGACAGAAGCAATGGCGGCCAAAAGTGGTGGAAGAAAGGGAAGAAAAAGCAAGGTTTGACTGAGGCTGCCTTGGGTTGAGAAGTTGAGAATTGACAACTTCTTTCGATGGCACCTCTGGGAAACTTGGGAAGGGGCGCAGGTGTTCCCGAGAGGCAGTTGCTGTCTGGTGTATCAACTGCCTGATTGGCCCGCGTCTTGAATGTGCTCCTCCCTCACTTTCCGATCTGAAGCACCGGTCTCCACCTGCCTGCCTCACTCTCAATCGCAACTTCTTCATTCATTCTTCAAGTGAATTGTGAAATGTGAGCAAGATTCACGTGAGTTGTCAATCCCGAGTGGATACGGCAATTCGCTCCTTCTTAGATTGCCAGAAGCCGGGCCATGGGGAAATCACGCACGACAGAAAGGCCGAGCATAACTTGAAGTTAGAACACCTCGAGGAAGGTAGGAACAACAACAACAACAACAACAACAACAACGACAAATTACATTCAGATAAGACTGGGACCTAGGACCCTGACAAGTATCTCATTTGTTTTCCCGTCACCTTTATTTATGGCAACGGGAACAGAATCCATCTCCGCCAGGGTCCTACTGTACCTTGAGCAGATGCGCAAACCTTATCATTGCGGTCCGCAACCACTCTGGACGGAACAGGAGTGGTGGACCCGTGGGCTCTCTCTGGGATAATCTCAGCACTAACTGTCAAACAGGAGATTTCGAGGCTCGAGATGGTTTTCAGTCTTGGGGAGTTGTTGACCCGAGAAAAGCAATAGAAGATAGATGACTAGCAGAGACAAGTCATAAATCTAGGTCACCCATCACGCGTGGATGTTATCATCACTCCAGTCCTGCCCGTACCGAAGTGTCAAAAGTGTGAAAGTCACCAATAGTCCGTTTCGGAGCTAGTACTTGACCTATCCTAGTGCTCCAGGATATCGTCGCTCTTTAAAGGTTGTCACTGCGGCTCAATTTTAGCAGGACCTGTCCCTATCAATGGATTTGTTTCTTCTTGAACTTGGCCCGTCATGACTCTTGGTCGTCGATGCCCAGCAATGCAGCAGATATGTCAATCGCAGGGCTGTCTATCCGTATTCCAGTATCCTCAGCGTGTCCCAGATATTTGTTCTCGAATTGTTCCTTATTCCTGTCTCAACCGCCTCGTATTCATGAACAAGGCTTGTGGACCCCACAAGGAAGAAACAGCCATGGGCCGACTCGACACGGAATGGTGTGTGAGGCCCACGGATGCAACAAGTTGCATCGAACCGTCAGTCAGATTTAGACTCTTGACGACGTGCGAGCGCATCGAGCATCAACCTCACACTCCCGTCCCGTCCTTCAGCCTGGCCATCTGTTCCGGTTCCGCAGCCAACCACGGCAAGGCAAAATCGAACGGCTCTGGTCCCCATTGGCGTAAGGTATTTATTTTCCCCCCTTCCAGGTTGTCTTAGGTTTGGGCCTAAAACCCCGCAAAAAGGTACAGATGAGCGTCGAGGTCGGGCGAAGTACCCTCCCATACCAATACATGCGGAGAGTTACCTTTCCCCGGCCGCCATGACATGCCAATTACCGTGCCCGCCATGCGGCCATGCCCGTTCAGTGTTTCTTGCCCTGCCCACCGCGGGCCTTCCCCCAGAATATGAGCTCGCTTGCTCCACTTTGCTGTCGTCCTAAGGTAACTTCCCCCCCGCCACTTCCCGGTGCCCAATTCCCTGATGCCGCAGCCGTCGCAAGACTTGCGCAAAGAGCCTCTGCAGCTCATCATCAATTCCAACTCAATCTAACCGCCGGCCCCATCTACATCCTCCCTTCCGCCCGCCCTTCGCCAAACTTAACATGAACGGCATCGACATCCTTTGCGATGCCGCCGGCTCTGACATGCTGCATCCCCTCTATTCCCCGCCGGAACTGCCGAAACAACCGGCCCAACTTTTACCCCAACAGCTCGGGAAACGCAAACTGAGCACATCCGACACCTCTCCCTCTTCGACACATGTATGCCATATATGCAAGCGAGTGTATGAGCGGGCCGATCATCTAACGAGGCATCTACGCTCTCATGAGAATGCTCGTCCCTACCAGTGCTCCCGCTGCCCCAAGCGATTCAACAGAGCCGACCTCCTCACCCGCCACGAGACAACCCACGACCGGGATAATACGGGCAAGGGTAGAACCTTCATACGGAGGAGTGATCGAGCCGCCGAGGCGTGCTTGAACTGTGCCGCTTCCAAGTCAAAATGCGAGGTAAACCCCGGCCGAGAAAACTATAGTTCTACGTCAGAGTACCAGAAGACTGACACACATTCAGGATGCTAAGCCATGCTCTCGCTGTCGATCCAAGAACTTACCATGCGAAATCCCCTCGAAGCGCACACATCCTCATCGAACGTCAATCGACGGCGCCTCCAGCCCTTCCGAGACATCAACACTGCATATGAGCGTCGACATGAACGGTAGCATGGACACTGGCTCCGTCTATACGGCTTCAAACTTGGTCATGATGCCACCAAACCCCGATATGAGCCATGATCTGGACGCATCCTCCTACATTGACGATGGCTTTTCGAACCCTGTTATGGACATGGTGATGGACGATATTGTCAACTTCAATCCAGTACACACGTACTTCCAGGACATGGACTTTTCCTCCTGGGACCTAAACTTTGACGCCATAACCATTCCACAACCCGAAATCAATCAGACCCCCGAATCTACTACAACCAGCCGGTCCAAATCCAACACACGAAATGCTTCAAAGGCACACGCGGCCTTCAAACGGTCGCCTTGGCTCTGGGAGCCGGGGCCAAAGGATTACGCGCTGCATCATGCTTCACCGCAGGATAAGGAGCAACTCATCCTTGACAACGGTACATTTGCTAATTCTCCCGCTTTTGATAAACTGATCAACACTCCGGGCACGAAGCTAAAGATGACGTCCCTCTCAAGGGACAGTCTCCTGGCCATGGTGGTGGCTAGCACATTCCAGAAGGGCGGCCGCACACGCACACCATCTTTTCCTTCTCAAGATCTCCTGAATTATCTCGTGCAAGCTCATTTCATTCATGATGAGCATCAGAGCGACAGTTGGATCCATCTAGCGACGTTCGATGCTGCTGCCACGATTCCAGAACTGCTTGCTGGTATTCTGTCCAGCGGTGCTACGTATATATCCATTCCTGCGGTGTGGCAGTTCGGGTTCTCGCTCCATGAAGTGCTCCGGCTTGGACTGGCAGACTTGGTAAGTCCATAACCCCCTTGACCATCCGTCCAATAGCAAACTTCCTTGCTAACATGCCCAAGTTCGAAAGCTCAAATTCTTTCACACGGGATCTTGCGGCTCTCCAAGCATTCATGCTCAACCTGGATATTGGCATCTGGAGTGGTTTCAAGCGAAAGATGGAGATCGCGGAGAGCTTTCTACAGCCTCCAATGACCATGCTCAGACGTGCGGGAAACTTCTCGGCCCCACCAGACTCGTCGGCCATGATCCCAACGATGGCAGACTCCCCCGAGGTTCTGGACTCCAAGTGGCGCAAATTTGTGAAGCGGGAATCTTACAAACGCCTTGTTTTACACATGTTCTTTCACGACATCCAGACTTCTATCTCATTCTGCAAAAACCCACTCATGTCTTACACAGAACTAAACTTCAGTCTTCCTGCTTCTCGAGATCTATGGAGGGCACGATCCGCCGGGCAATGGAGGAATGTGTATGTTGCCAAAACCAACGCAGCCCCAGACCGTATCATTCCCCGTGTGTCAGAAGTGATGCACTGCACCGAAATTCTGGACGAATTCGAGCAATTGGTTGACACAGAATTGTGCTACATGGCCTTATTGCATGGCTACTGGGGTCAGATAGCGGCGTACCGCGAAGCCATCAAGTTCTATTCCGACGGTCTCTCGAGTAAAAGGAATGCGACCCACCGCCTGTGGCTCAAAACACAGTACCAAGAGCTCTACCGAGATCTCAATGACTTTTCAACCATGATCCTCACATCAAAACGGCCCACGGCTCAGCTTGCAGTCATGTCAGAGGTCCTCATGATGCTACTACATGTTTCTCCCGACATCTTGCAGACGTTTGCTGGCAAATCGGGAGAGGACGAGGCCCGTAGGACGTTCACCAGCCTGGAAGACAGCTGGGTAAAGACATCTGAGGCACGTTACGCGATATGGCATGCTGGTCAGATTTTTCACCATGCTCGCCAGCTTCCACCTGCTTCGCTGCGTGAATTCAACGCCATCGCAGTATATTACGCATGTCTCACGCTTTGGGCATACGGGCTGCTATCCTGTTCGGCATCCAGACATGGCTCCGACCAAGAGATCAGCAACGGCTTGAGCAACAATAGGTCTACTTCGGGATACACGTTGATGGATTCGGACGAAAACCGGGAAACGAGGGCCTTTCTTCAACTTGACCGCGGAGTGCCTGGTCTCACAATCAATGGGAACCCCGCTGATGGCGTAGAATCGCTATCAAACCCGAGTGTGGTTCTATCGATTGCGAGAGATGTATTCCGGAACAACTTCCCTGTGGTTTCTGAACCTCTACCACCCTTGGTCGAGAGTCTACGGAGCCTGTTGCAGGGCCTTGGCTCGGGGGCAGCAGGGCGACCTTCGCGGGATGGGAGCTCAGACTTGCCGTAGTGGTTTACAATGCATTTCATCTGAGCGATATCTGGTTTGTTTATCTATCGAAATACTGGGACTTGACCGGAAAACGGCGGTACTGTTCAATTAGCGAGTGACGGAAGGTTGACTCGAATGGGTGATCCATGACATGCATGAGTTGGTGTTGAGGGAACAGGCATAGCGATAGCAGCCACATTTATTTGACTGAGCATTTGGCGTTAGTAGCAGCCTTATCGTTATGTACAATTGGCGTGGGAAACATCCAATGTGCTTCTTGAGGAAGGACTCGTGTTGATTTGCTCACTCGCAAGTGATATGACCACTCCGTCTACAGCAACGCGGGATGCCTCTGGCACAGAGAATGGAGCGGCCTGCGTCTGTGTGGCCCCACATCCCACGGCCCCGGTGAGGTCTCGGAGGCCGGGTGGGGGCACGTGCGTCGTTCCGGATTGAACGACACTTGGGCGGGCATAGGCGGCAGCGAGTTTGGTGGCTTGAAATCAGGATGAGTCCTTGAGCATTGGTCGACTTAAAACCGCAGCCAGAGTTCCGTTTCTTACCCAGCAAGTGATTTGTCCGAACTTGTAACATGCAACGGCTGGATCCCGGAGGCGTGGTCATCGTTTCCCCACGGTATCAGCGAGGTTTCTATCATGATCTAAATTGATGTGATCATTCTGTGCGAATTGAGCTAATCGATCATATAATCTCAGATGTATTTCCCAACTTGTGAGATTCTCTTTGAGGTAGAAGGTATCGTGTTGAGCCCCGATTCCATGGGCCATGGTCGAATCTGCCTCGAGGGTTTCGTTGACTGTAAGCCACATCAAGAAAAAAGGTAGTACAGCTAAATCGCCGTGACTAGGGCCTATTTTATGAGCCTGATATGTAGCAAACCAACGCGCCATGTTTCTGAGTTGGCAGTCTCTACGTCTCGTAGCAAGCAAAAGTCTGTCGTGGCAGGCATCCGTTACACATGTCAAGCCAGGAGAAGCTCATCCCTCGAGTAGAACGTTTTTCGAGTCTTGTTTCCCAGCCCTAGATGTTTCAAGGCTCGCGAAGCTGTGGCAAACCCACAGAATATGGAATACAACCCTGCCGGTTCGTGACTTGGCTTTCCGGCGTTGATGCCTTTTTACTGAGTTGTCAGCCTGAGTAAGGTAAGGAAGGTAGTACGCTGGTCAAGGTAGTACGGACCAGCTAAGCTGCAAGATGCAACGAGATATATAACGATGCAGCAAAACCGGGGCTGAATGTGAAGGGATTATCATCTCAGAGTGCTTTTCAGTAATATGCCTTATCGTTGGGAGGTCCAAATGTACCGAAATTTGAATTCCGCAGCATGATGGGCTTGTTCGTGTTATTGACTTCCCATGACGGGTTCGACGTTGCAATAAACAAACAGAGCATATTGCATGAAGCGATTTACGGCGGCAGGTTCGACTTGCATCTATTCCCACCCCATCAAACATATTCCGAGAAGAATACGCATGAAGCGTAAGGAGGGGATGATGGTGATAGTGGTGTATATGAAAGGGCATACGAGTGCGTTCGTTCTCTGCCACTCCATCTTTCTAACCACTTGGCGCAGTCCTCGTTCGAAATCGTCTGGGTCCACCCATCGTTGGTTTGCTTTGGTGTACATACACGCTTTGGTACTCGACAATTCCACTTTGGAACCCTCGACGGGAGAAAGGAATTACAAGTCATGTGCTAGATGGCTCGTGAGGGCATGTCATAGAAAGTGCAGGCACGGAAGTGTACTTGGCCACGAACATCTCGCCAGCTTTATTGAGATGGGATAGATACGTTAAGCCTAGACAGAGTGCCTGTTTAGGGAAACCTTACCCCTTTTTCCAAGTCCACCCCCGTTCAAACGCCAGCGTATCATGCTTCGCCCCGACAACCACTCGAGCTACAACCTATACGTTTCTCGGTATCCTCTCACGCCTCAACGCCAGTATGTTCGTGCCTCCAAATCGTCAGTCAAGTCTACACTGCCCACCATCAACCATCGAGACCGTTCCGAATCAGAGGTGGATTGACCTTACACAACGAACGTCATGATATGGTAACAAATGCTACTGTCTTAAGAGTCTTGCACAAAAGAAATGTAACTCTCGTCCATCAAAGGTCGCGCAGGCCACGGCCACACTTGCCCGGGACGACCTGTGGTTTGAGGGGGTGTTGGATGGCTGGCGCCTGGAAGCTAGACGTTTGTTCGACGCCCACGGTCTTCGGCTTTGCGTCTGCTCCAAAGCTGTGTGCCTTAGATGGATGGATCTAAGAATAACTTTAGAGAAGGGGCTCGCCGGATCAAAGGCGCCAAAGTGCACATATTTGCAATGAACAGTCTGCAGCGATCCAACGTCTGATTGGAACTCCAGGCCCTCTGTGTACTGATGGCTAGCGCTCCGTGACATTCTGACATGAAGTACCAAACTACTGACGAGAATACTACGCGGATGATGTCACCAAGCTGGGGTACTTCGTTGAATGGATAGCACATCGGACATCTGTCTAGCCAGTGTCCCTGGTCTGGGGTTCTTGTCGCTCAACGTATGATAGAAGTGCTCGTTGGGAACCCTGCCTTCGAATTCATCATCACAGCAGTCCTTGAGCAGTAGTCATGTAGATGGCAGAAGAAACATCCGTGTATTTCTCCCCAAGCACGGGCGAGCGCTCATCAAAGTTTGACAAAAGACAGTTCAAAGATAAAGCGAGATTCCCCATTTCCGATTTGAATGCCAGAAAAAACCAAATAGTTTTTACGAATTCTGCAATACGCATTCGTTTGTCTCTTATGCTTTCGTCGGGTCGGGAGAGATCAATCTACACACAGACGGACCCAAGTAAACCACACCGGTAGGGGATTCCTCAACCCGTCGTCAGGCGGAGGGAAACCGGAGGGATATGAGGGGCGTGATAAGATTTCCGAAACCACGACGGCATTTTGTCCCAAATTTCACCGTTTTCGCCAACCACCCTTGAACTTGATTCTCCCGTCGATTCCACCCTCATGCCGGTGGCCCAGACGTTCCTAGAGTCGTATCGAATGCATATGGGAAGTAGAAAGCGCTTAGGCGGTAGGGTTGGGGTTCATCTACAGAGCAGGCCAAGTTAGTCATCCGAGGTCATCGATAGTTGGCGAGGAGCGTCGTTGTCTAGAGCGTACCTTGCGCTTGCCTCCGGTGAGGGTGACGTTGACGAAACGGCGGGTGTATGTGAGTCTCTTCTTCGCGCGGCCCTTGGGGGTCTTCTTCTTCTCCTGGGGCTCAACCTTGGGGCTATTGCAGTGGTCAGCGCTCGCGGTTCATCATTTCATCATCAAGAACAATTTAGTCCATCGCCCGGTCGGTTCTCGTTTCGATGGAAAACGCGTTTCCTCGTCGTAGTTCGTTGAATGGATGGTGTTGTTGTCCCTTCTCTTTCCCGACCGGCGTTCCCCCTCATCGTCGTCCGTGGTGACCAAAGTTTTCGTCGGTTTGCCACCCTCGATTCCCAGATGCACGAGGATGTGTGTTGTTCTCATGAGTAGAAAAAAAGACTTACGTCTGAGACTTGACCTTTCCGGCACGCGCCAACGATCCGTGAACCTTTCCCATTGTGGCGGTTTGAGTTGCTGCTGTGTTGTTTCGGTGAGTTGGTTGTCGATGGAATCGAGAAGCGGGCTTGTCGTCTTCTGCGCGGGCAATGGGCGTCGGATTGCGTGGGAGGATTGCGGGCCTGGACAATTTTGGGGGTTCGGTTCGTAATTCTGTGCGTCACGTGTAGTGAGTGGGGAAGGAACAGGGCGGGCGAGGGGGCTTGCTTTTTGTTTTGTATTGAGCCAGTCACCTTCCTGCATTTGCCTCCGCCCCAATTCGGAAGAGGTGGTCTGGGCGAGAATTCGGCCTTAGGGGTTAATCTCATAACAACCTGAGCCACGCTTGTCGCTCCGTGGTCTGAGCTTTCGCAGTGGCGCCGGCGAGATGAATCATCGGCGAATGAGCAAAACAACATTCGCTGCCAGTAGCGCTGGTGGGCACTCGAAATAGGGAGGCATGGCTGACTATGGTGCCTCAGACTGCTAGTAGTGATTTCGCAATGACTGATTGAAGGACCTATTGTACTAAACAACCAATGTTTGATGATGTTTGCTTATCCTTTACGCCAACTTTTCCGTTATCCATCTTCGCAGCCGTCCAACGTTCGTACTCTACAGGGTATCTAGACATGTTCTCGTGTGTATACATCGACCTTGCTCAGTTACTCAAGCATTGTTGAGTCCACCCATCTGTTCCTCGCTCTTAGGATCAGCGCAGTACCCATTGCAGGCCAAGCACTTATCCAACTTCTTCGACAGCATATCCTCCAACGACGCCGGGTGGATGATGAGATCCTTCGTCTTCAGGTTCTCGTCCAAGAATACGTAGGGTCCTCGGTAGTCGCTCTGGCGAATCTCAGGAAGGAAGGTAATGTTGTGGGGAGTGTTCTTCTTAGCCACCTCAGCCCACGCAGCCTTCACATCGGCTCCGATCTGAAAATCCCAGGTGCTCTCCCACGATGCCGTCGTCGACAATATCTCGACGGAGTAGCGGAAGACGGCGCCTCCAAACTGGTCGGTCTTGTAAATTTCCAGCATCTGCAATGCTGGCATGTGCTTTGCGGCGCTGGCGATCGAACGAAGGATACCGTTGACGGTCTCGTGGTCGATACCATCAATCATGGTATGAGAGGTAAGCGCAAGTCGGCGGAGGTTGTTCCAGACGGGCTTGCGTGCGAGTAGACCTTGGAAGAAAGCAGTCGCGTCAGAGACGTTCGAGACGGCCATTTCCTCGGCTTGCAGGCTGAGGAAGCCCAAGTTGTGACCAAGGCTGGGGCATGAGGTTCGAGCAACATCTCCTGCTTCTTCCGCACTGTCGGTGGGGACGGGAAGAGCGATATCACCGCCGGTTGGATCCGCGTCATTGTCGTCGACAGACTCGGCATCCTCCCATTCGGCTTCCGGGCCATTGTTGAAAGCATCGAAATGCTCAAAGATGCTGATTCGCTTGATGTGGGAAGGCCAGAAAGGGAAAGTACGGGCATAGTCTGAGGGAGTCAATCAGTATTGGGCTTTTGGACACGACCTCGGTGAGGCAGAAGGGACGTACCGGAGTCGACTTCCAACTGTGCTTCCAAGTCAACTTGATGCCAGGGCTCGAATCGGACTTCCTCGAGCTTGGGCAGACTCGAGATAATACTGAGCAAGGCTCGAGATGAGATGTTGCGGTGGTTGCGGCGCAGAATCTGGCAGCTATTGATGACCGAGACCTCGGGGAGGCCGTGTCGTCCGACCTGCTCACAGGCAGCAGTGATGAAGCAAAAGTCGAGGTCGTGGTCGAAGAAGCGTGAGTTGCCGTCCTGATCCAAGCCCAGCTCGCCAAAGTACTTGTTCTTATCGCTGGGCGAAGCGGCGCTGAGCTCCAACTCCATACTCTGGCCCAAAGGCGTCCACTTGCTGAGGATGTCGAAAAGGTTCCAGATTCCCTGAGTGAATGCAATCTCATTTTCGTTCTGCTCATGGTCTGTCTCGGGAACCTTGGCCAGCTTGTTGGCATACTTAGCCAGCTCAATGTGGAGTGAGATGCGGCGCAGGTAAGAGCGACGGATGGGGTCTTGAAGAATTTCATCGAAGCGAGAGAGATCCTTGGCAGAACTGATCTCGAGAGTGCTGAAGTTGATCTTTTCTATGAATCTCTGCCACTGTTGACACACGACGGCATAGCTGCCCATGTCATGACGCTTGCTCTTTGACTTTGATGTTTTTGAGCGTCTTTCGGCGACAGCTCCATAGGCAAGGTGCTCAAGAATGAGGCCCTTGAGCTCAACAGGCAAACCATTCCATGTTGCCATCTTGGTCTCCTCTTCCATGGCAATCAGCTGTGAGGCCTAGTGAGAAGTCGGCGTTAGATAATGTAAGCACGTTGGTGTTGAAGACCCGCGTTGGTCGGTCTTACCTGTGGACGCCCAAGTCCTCGATGCTAAGGAAGTTGAGAGTGAATTTTCAGCGGGGCAAGAATGGAGACTGGGCTCACCTTAAACCCTTGTTCAAGTCGACACTGGACAGTTGAGTGAGTGAGGGGCAAATGAAATGCCTCGTCTTGAGCGAAGCGCCCTCCTGGCTGAGTATGCTCTGAATTTGTGTGCAGAAAGTCGCGCCTTCGCTATTGTCGCTGACACCTATGTCTGTCGAAGGGCTTGGGTCTTTCTGCGTTTTGGTGTTGTCATTGCCTTCTGGTCGTCTTTGTGAGGTGACCTACGCCTTTCCTTTGGAGAACGGGACTTGACTTGAGGTGCGAACGGACAAGTTGCGTGCACTAATCAGCACTTGGCAATGAGAAGACCCTTCCAGAGCAACCGGTACTTCCTTCCCGAAAAACTCATAGCACAAGTGGGTGCCTCCTGCCATCTAATCGTGTACCTTCACTCACTAGAGTACCCTTTTGGACCTTTGCTCCTCTCCCCCCACCTTAGAAAAACTCGTACAGTGTATTTCGGCAGCATGAAGCACAAGAAAGCTGGATTATGCACTGTTTCCCCTCTTCAGATAAGCCGATAGCAATGCCCTGGAATGCTGAGCCGAAGACCTGGACACTGGTGGTTGTTCATCCCGTTCCCTTGCCTTTTGGTCCTGGGATTACAGTTACAAACGCCAACAACATGTGCTCATCTGCTCACCTCCAGACGCTGGAGATGATCATGCAACCCAGGTCCCTGCAGGCAGACAGCCTTTCGCCAGCCCACAACTTCGGGAAAAACCACTTGAATTTCACCTTACGTATCCGTACAGCCGCCAGTAGCCCTGCCCATGCCCGCATGGCTCGGAGTGGATAGAGTCAGGCTTGGAGGTTGTCGCGCTAAACGCCGTTTGGCTTATCAGATCTAACCCCGGGCCACTTCCCAGGCGTCTCATCCCAGACATCACATGCGCCCATCTCCTCTCTTGCGGAGTTGCCCAGCTAAACCCAACGCGAAGTAACCTAACCTTCTGACTGACCCCCAGCCCACCACCGTTGCAGACCGACCTCCCGTCCTCGCCCGTTACGAAACCCGACTCGTTCTCCTGACTGTTACCGACGTTGTTGGACGGGGGACTCCTCTACGCAGTACTCGTGTTTGCCCAGGCGGATCCATCCCATCCTCTTTGTTCTTCAATCCATCCCCCAACGCCGAAGAAACCTCCCCAGAGAAGACATCGTCCCCGCCGTGCTCGCTCTCAATAGTTCCCTCCCAAATATCTTGGCCCTACGTCCTAACCCTTCCGATACCGCCTCACACCACGAACAGCTCGTAGGATCGATCCATCCCACCCTATCCGACCGACCGACCGACCGACCGACACCACACACACACCTCAAGTGAGGACTTTGCTACAAAACCTCGCATCCACCCGACCCCCGACAGACCCGCCTCCTTCTACACCCTTTCTCTCGCGTACCGTCAGAGCAGTCCCATACCTCCTCTCTTCGTCCGACCTGAAAACAAGATGAAGACATCCGCCATCCTCGCCGGCCTAGCCGCCTCCGCGGCCACCGCCGTTCTCGAGCCAGGCATGCCGCAGCACCTCCTCTCCAACCCCGAGGGCGGTGCCGACGCAAACCGCATTCCGACTTCATACGAGTCCGCAGTGATGGGCCGCCGCATTCTCGCCGTGACCAAGCTGGCCGAGCTCGCGACCGTCTTCCCGACCGGCGCCCACTCTGCCTCGGGCGGTGACCTCTCCGGCATGCCCATCGGCCTCATGGACTACGTCGCCGACTGCGAGGACGAGGGCAACCCCACCATCCTGGCCATCACCATCGCCACGTCCTTCAAGAACGTCCGCGCCGGCTCCAACATCTCCCTCTCCATGCACTGGGCCCCGCCCTTCCCGCCCGCGAAGCGCATCTCGCTCTTCTCCTCGCTCAAGCACAGAATCTTTGGCTCCTCCGACGCCGACGCGGCCACGGCTCTCCCCGACACGGTCCCCTACTCCGCCGCCAACCTCCCCCGCTTCTCCCTCCTCGGCTACCTCGAGAAGATCCCCGCCGACCCCGTCTCCTCCCTCAAGCTCGCCCACTGCTTCGTCAACAAGCACCCGGACTCCAAGTACTGGCTCCCCGGCAGCCCCGTCCACGAATCAGAGTGGGTTCGCTTCGTCGTCACATCCGTCTACTGGATCGGCGGCTTCGGTGACCGCGCCTACATTGGCTGGATCCCCCTCGAGGAGTGGCAGAAGGTCACCAAGGAGGAGTACGAGTCCATCGAGCTCCCTGGTGAGAAGCGCGGCTGGAAGGAGTGGAGCGTCAACAGCTGGTTCGACGGCAAGGACCTTTGAATGTGTCGAGAGGATGTTACCTGCGACGACAAGGTAGTTGATGATTTGCGTACGGGAGGGATCCAATCTTTTCTTTTTGGTATGATACCATTTACAACCTAGGTCAGACCCCAAAGGCCTCAAAGGGGCTTGCTAGTTTGCAATGCATTTTCAGGCCGGTCATTTGATGAGTATTTATATGCCAATTTTGCCCAAGTCGGCGTTGTTATTTTAGATGAAGACTTTGGCCGCGCGAGATACACATTCGCTAAACAGCCAAAGCCTAATTATCATGCAGGCACTTTATGTATGCACTTAAAGATCGCGAACCTTGAGAGTCAAGCCACACAACAACAAACGGACCGAGGAGGGGATCTTCATCATTACAGCGTATTATATCAGGGTGGGGGTATCTCGCACTACAGCTCTCTCAGACGTAACAATGCAGACACCCTATTTCCATCTCTTTTCTTTAGTCCCCCTTTCAGTCGTTCCCGCGAAACAAATCAAACGCTATGCATGCCTCTCGTGTGTGCACGTGTGCGTGTGTACCCCAGGTATCCCATATCAGAAAAGAAAAAAAATAAAGTCCCGACGCCCAAAATGATGACTTTGATCTCCGTCGATCGTCCTCAAACTATGTACACACAAGAGAAGATTAAACAGTTTCAAGACAAAGTGGAGTAAAAGAACACGTCTAGTCAACGCGAATGATGACCTTCCAAGCCAGAGCGCCAGCCTCTCTGATGGCGCACGCAAGGCAACCCCGTCGGCGTCTTGAGATGATGGCATTCCAGCCCTTTTCTGCGCAAAATGCTCTCACCAGGACTTCCATGTCACTTCCAAACTGGCGACGCCGGGACTCAAGGTGCATGTTGGTTGTCGCAAGGCTGGCGCCGTTGGCGGTGCGTTCAAGAATGGGAGACGTGGGAGTCTCTTGCGTCGGGGCCTGACGCTTGAAGCCAGTGATGCAGTCAATAACCAGAACGCGAGGTGTGGTGTTCGGGGTGGGTGTGAGAGATGGACGGCGGACAGATGACGTGTTGAGAAGCAAGTTATCCAAGGAGGCGTCTGGCTTGTCGAGAAGCTCTGAAAGATGGATAACAGTATATGTGAAGAATTTTTGCAGGGGATGTCCTAGATGATGGTCAGTCAACGTGGCCATGTGAGGGGGAGATGGTTCTTCTTACCCGTAATGGTGGCCGGCTTGGAGCTCACACCGCCGATGCCGCTACCGTCCACGTCGATCTGCTGGATAGTGGGGCTCGAAGGGGACCTCAAGACCCTAACGTGGGAAGACGGGTGGCATGGATGAGCCGTGACGAAATGGATATCCTTTGTCAGGGAAAATTGGTGCTCCTTTGCTTCGCCGCCGTTGGGGCCGACAGAGAAGGAGATGGAAGCCGGATAGGTGTAGAGTTCGTGAGATCGGGTCACGTCCGAGAAGGGGGTCATCACCGTCTCCTCCGTCGGAGTGGTACGAGTCGAGTCCACAGGCGCGGACAGATTGAGAGACGTCAAGGAGATGCTCAGGCTGGGAGGCGGTTCCGCATAATTATTCTCATAGGGAATGATGAAATCTGCGGGTAACACCGAGCTGGGATCCGCATCACCCAGAACACAAGACTCGCGCTCGACGTGAGTCTTACCCCACAGTCGGGCTTGGTTGCCTGTCTTTTTCATGTCATCTGCAAAAAGATGTTTAGTTTGGGTCGAATGGGAGCTGGTCAGAGGGTTACTTACCACAGACTTCGGCAACGTCGATATTGACCCAGCCATCACCATGTCCTTGGGGAGTAATATCGCTCGAGATCCATCCCATACACTGAGCAGAGCCAGCACCAGCGGCTAGAACACGGCCAATGATGCAAGCCGTGCTCCAGAAACTCTTGCCGCGGTACACGAAACCACCGCACAGATTCGCCATCGGGCCCAATTTGGACATGGCCTCCTTGTCGTTCTCCAAGAGAGTGGTCATGATCAAGTGGTACAGTCCTTCGCCCGGAAGCATGAGGCCGGACACGTAAGATTTGGATAGCCACCCAGACGGATGCAGAGCTGCCGAGATCTTGTGCTTTCCAGACGGATGTCGAGTAACGCTCGCTTCAGTTCGACCGCCACCGAAATAAGACGATCTTTTCGTGTCAATGCTCATTGGTGTTTCCGCGGGCGTGTGAATCGGGGTCGCTTCTGACACCTTGTTGACTGTTTCTGAGATCTGCTCGGCGTATGTGTCTGATTCGATGTCGGGCCAGCGTAGCTTTCTTGCAAAATTCGTAAGTCCGTTGACTTGTCTCTCGCTGTATCGTCCCTGGATGGTATACACGGAAACGTCGCCCTGTGAATGAGCATGGTTGTTGGGGTGAAGGTTCATCTTTCCGGTCAAAGATGCCAGCCATCCGCCGGAGTTGCGTTTCTGAGTGTTCGCCGGGTCGACCTTCCGCTCGATGATTTCAATATTCTCGAGCCAAGCGCGTGCCAAGTGCAATGACCACTTGACTGTTGAGTTTGCATCCTTCTCGAAGCGCTTAATCTCGGTGGGTCTGATGCTCTCGATGCCAAGCTCTTCACCCTCCGTAATGGCATCTAGCCTGATGAGCAACTCGCATGCTAGGAGAATCTGAAGCAGCAACCAGTATCTCTCCTCTTTGCGCTCCTCGTTGCTGTCAGCGTCGTCGATCTCAACATCTGTTTCGAGCTCGTCGCCCTCGAAGGAGCCCCAGAGGATCTGGCCAAGTCTGATTCTCCATTCCACATGAGAGAAGTCGATCCACACGTTTGGTGCAGCAAGGACCTTGACAAGCGCCGAGATTTGTACAGAGAGGCTGTAAGGGTCATGGTGGTCAACGACACGGGTCGGCGGATGCAGGATGCCCAGGAATAGCTCATTGTACAGGGTGTTGTGGATCTTTCTGTGGACCTTGTTTTCCTTGTATCTGGCGCCATTCTTGATGAGCTGATCCAAGATGGACGATTCCTCCAAGCGGCGGAGTCCGTCTTTGGAAGCCAGCATTCTCTGGCGCTGTTCAACAATAGCTTTGGCCTTGTGTCCAATGCTGTCGAAGCCAAACTGCTCTTCCTGGAGCGCGTCGCCAACCGGCATCTCCAAAGCCGCCTGGTATCCCATTGTGCCCTTCTCCAAGCCTTGCATACTGAGCATATTAGGCCGTTCTCGGCATCGCGGGTAGAAATGGGCTCGCTTCCTTTCCTTGGCGCATCGTATAGCAGCAGGATTAGAGTTCATGTCCCTCGTGATGTGAGGCCAAGCTGTAATGCAGCTCCAGGCGGCGTCTTCGATCTGAACATGGTCGGTCAGGTCGCGGATCTCGAGCGACTCGTCCCAGGGAAAGGCGACAGAGGGGTGCGGGGCGCCGGTGTAATGGCCTTCAGAGCGAGCAAAGTACTGAGGAGCTCCAGAGAAGAGCTTCTCAACGTCGTCGTCGCTGAGGGTTGCCATGATTTTCGTCAGTTTCAGAACTGGTTTGGCGGAAGGGCCATTGGCTTTCTGGTCGGCGCTGTCGAAGGCGAAGGGAGGCGGGGAAGGCAGTGGCTTATTGGGGTTGAGAGGGGGCGGCGATCGAGAGGAACGGGACTCGGCACTGCTTTGCGGAGGGGAAACCTGGGGTTTGCTGGTGAGACACAACGGCTTTTACAACGGTTGAACAAAGAGATGCGGTCCAATTGGGGTAATTAGAAGAGCCAGTGTTGCTGAGACTGGAAAGGGCAAGGTGGTTGGGTTGGTATGGTTGGCAGGACGGGCTGCTTTCTCTGTGTGTAAACGGGAGACGATGTCTTTGTCTTTAACCCGCTCGAAAGGCTGAACCGATTATTACAGCAATGGACTGTAAAGGAATTTGCAGACTTGAAGAAAGAAAGACTGTCGACGAAGAGAAAGAAAGGGGTGTGTTATACAAGTAACATTGACTAAAAGTAAAGAGGGGAATTGGAGTCTCGGAAGCTGATCACGCGGCAAAGAAGGGACGGGTTATGCAAGGGAGCAACGGAGGTATAGATCATCAGAGTCTGAGCATCGGGGTAGGTACGGAGGCTTGAGGAAGAAAGTATTATTAAGGAACACTGGAACAGCAGATGGACATCTCGAAGGACGTCACTGCAAGCAAGCTTGATGAGCAAGCAGGCTGATGGGCAATGAGATGATGGATGGGCAAGCAGAGAGAGATTGCAAGACAGGGCAGACCAGAAGTGGCCTGATGCAGTTCCCATTTGATGGATTGCATAAGACGATGGCGGGGGAGTGACACGGTGGAGAGGGGGATGAGGTCGTGGTGCAGACTGTGACGCCGTCTAAGGTACGCAGTACCGTCACTGCCACCGTTTCCACGACCCCTCAGCACCTTACGTAATGAACCTAGAGCAAGGTATCCGTACCTTACGGAGGACAGAAGACGGGAAGGTCCAGGTCAAGCCCGGTGAGATGGGGAGAAGGCCCCGGGGAGCATGGAACCAGGAAGGCATGGAAGCACAGGCAGGGGATGGGGCAAGGAGGTACCCACGCCTTGGAGGGCCGCTCTGTGCCCACCCACTGCCACTGCCGTGTGTCTGTCTCTCTCTTCAACTGTCTGTGTTCACTTCTCCGTCTGCGGCGCACGGAATGTCCAGCCTTGGCCAAGACAAACCCACCGACACCGACGCGGAAACCGGACCTGGTCTGAGAGTGCGGGGGTGACAGCACGGAAGGGGGTTGTTGACTTGTGGTGGGTGGTAGTGAAGGAAAGGTGCGTGTGATTTGTTGTAAAGCATGTAAGCTATGCGCAGCATGTTTGTATCCAAGCAGCACTGCTGCGTTGCGTGCATCTTCCCAGTACGGCCTTGCTGCTATTCTGAGCAACTTTCTCATCTCCAGCTTTCGGCACCGGGGACATCGGGGACATCGGGGACATCGGAACTTCGGGGCGTCGGAGCTGGTCCAGACTTGAAGCGTCCATCTCAGGGACCTTGCCTGAGAAGAGAACCGGGGGGGGGGGGGGGGGGGGAGTACCACAAAAGAGGTGGAAAATAGAACGACGAAGCGCGCGTGATGCTGACATGATCGAAGCATCGAAAAAAATGTGGGAAGCTAAACTCTCTGAAGGAGACGGACCGTTTGGTGTAGAAAGGATATAGAGACATGGACGAAAGAGAGAAACGTACGGGCAACTTTGTCGGTGACTCGGCACCGGGACCCCGCCCAGACTTTGTCGACGAAGCCGGCGTCGATGCGCTGCTGCTGGTGCTCCGGCCTTTGCTGCGACTCAACAGCCCTCCAAAAAGGTCCCGTTTGGAGAACTTGCGCTCCCGCTCCGGCTCGCCCGTTCCGATCCCCAAACCGCCCGGCGACGCCTCCCTTCCATTCTCCTGTGGCGGCGAAAGCGGCGGTCGAACTTGTTGTTGTCGTTGCTGGCGCTTCGAAGGGGATAATGGCCGCTGGTCGTGTTGCTTAGACCCCCGTCTGAGTAGTGATAACGACGGCATCTTTGCTGCTTCTACAGATACCAGTCGCGGGTTGTGTTGGTCGTTGGTTGAGATGAAGTTTGCTGCCGTGTTCGTCTCATTCGTCTCGATTTCGTCCCTGTTTTCCCCTAAAGGTAAAGTGAAATCTCCAGTCTCTTTCTTATCTTTATTTCTCCCAAACTTTCTTTCCCAATCTCTTTCAACTTGTCGTATTGTTGCTCTTTCGACAAGCTTTCAACCAGGTAATCCTGAACCTCCAAGGTGGCTGATCAAAAGTGGCGTCGTTGGAGGAGCCGGTAGTGATGATGATGGTGGTCGTAGAGGGGGAGGTCCGACGTCTTATCGCCGATGGAAAGGATGCAAGTCCAGGTTTCTGCAAGGTAACCTTTCATGTGTCGCAATGGGAACGCAAGGCGCAGTGTTGAGTCAAGTTTTCCTGCAGTAGGTGGACGAAGGTCCGAGTAAACGATAGGCGGGCAAGCTTCGAGAGATCGTAGGTAAGTAAGGTAGGTAAGATAATAAACAGGAAAAAAAAGAGACGTAGTAGACGGAGGAAGAGGGGGATGGGGGTCAAGTCTTGTAAGGTGATAATCAGAAGCAAGAAGTGGGAAACGCACAGTCTTACAGCAAATGAGAGGCAAGGCGGCGGGATGTTAAAACAAGAAATGAATGCGAATCAACAAGAGACAGACAGACACACGGCCGATGGTCTGCCAAGGCAGGGGTGGTCTTGGACTTGGAGGGGAGTGACAACAACAACAACACTTTTCTGTATCCGTATCTGTATCGTTATCATCCACTCTTTCTCTTTTTTTGCTTTCCTCACTCCCCTCTATGCGCTGCCGGACGCTCTCTCTCTCTCTCTCTCTCTCTGCCTCTCACTCCCAGTCTCCCACTCAGTTCACGTGTTGGGCTGGACCTGGGGCCTTTGGGCTTGGCCATTTCAACGAAGGGGGCCCCCTTCTGACTGGACCAGTGGACAGTGACGGGATAAGACATCCACGGGATAGGACAGGACGAGGAGGCCGCAGAGGAAGGCATGTCCACTTTGTTGGTGTACCCCTCGTCCTAGCCGCAGGCGACATGCAACAAGGCACCGGGGGGGGGGGGGGATGTGTCTGTCTGGTCCGCTACGGCAAGGAGAGCGAGAAAGGCATAAAGAGAGAGAAAAGCGTCCTCGCGCCTATTACTTTTCACGTATCTGAATATAGCTGCATACCCTGGGAAAGAGAGCTCTGGGGGTGGGGGGAAGCGAGGCAGATGAGCCCCCCCTCCTCCCCTCTCCTCCCCGGGCTAACAGAAAGAAAGGGTGGGCAGAACGAACGGCAGTCTCAGATCTTCAATGCTCCCATGTCGAGCGAGAAAAAGGTAGAGACAGGGACGAGCAGAGGGGAGATTAGAAAATAATACCTACAAGATTACCTAGGAAGAGACGAAAAAAGAACGCCCTATGGAAGCAGAGCGAGCTTCAGCTTCCCGTTCGTTCGTCATCTCCCACCCCATAATCGATATGGACCAGAGGGGGAGGGGTGTGAGTGCCAGAGTGAGCGTTCCGCGTCTTGCAGGCATGGCATGGACTCTAAGTGTGTGTGTGTGTGCGTGTTTTTTGCACTCTTTCTGTCTCCCTCCCTCGTCGTGTAACTTGCTGCGTTGTGACTTCATCGGAGTGCTCAGCCCAGCAAGGAAACTAAGAGCCCGGTTCCATGTAAACCTCTATCTTAGGTACTCCACCCGGACTCCCGCGTGGCGGCTTCGCCATTCTCGTCTTCCCGTGGCCTTGGAATACCGAAGTTGTAATGATGATAAAGCAACAGGGCAGAAAAAACAGAGATCAGATCAACAAGATGACGAACGGTTCCAATGGGCAATTCTGAAAGGTCGCACGGCGCGCACAGAGGAGAGAGGAATGTCCAAATATTTAACATTGGCGGCTTGTGCTTTTTCTTCTCTTCAATTTCGTCCCCCGTACGGAGAGTATAACGCCAGGCAAATTATACCCTCCCTCACTTCGTCATTGGTAATGGTGCTAATGTCAGATTGCATGATAGCGTGCGTCCTGCCCGCCGCTCATCTTTTTTGGTCTTGCATTGTCTCCGGCAGGTCCATCACCGACGAGAGATGTTCTTCTGAGGTCCTGACAGGGGTATGAGAGGCAAGAGAGAAAGATGAGCAGACACACACATCAGACAGCCGCAGCGGGTAAGGGGAAGCAGATCCATGATCACGGACGCAACAAAACACCATTTTCGGGGACCCCCTCGTCACCAACAAACAGTTGGAGTTTCTTCTAGATGGACTTGGTGATGAAGAAGAATAAGAAATCATGAAGAAAGTCTTTTCGTGTAAGTAATGGAGATCAGGAAAATAGACGAAGGAAGTTACGAAACGCAAAGACATCTGCAAGAGGCCAGATTCAGAAAACCAGGAATTACACTGCAAAGCAGGTATCCGTAAAACCAGCACGCCAGCTGGTCCAGCTCGCCCATCGAAAGTGCATGTGAAATCCACCCAAACTGCCTTAAGCCGCTGCGATGCTCGCCCAGCTCGCGGCCCTCCAAGACAGGGGTCTCATTCGTCTCTTTGGGGAAGATCTCTGATTAGGTGGTTTCGGGATCCGCAAGCCCACACCATCCTCCTCTCCACCCCTCTGGGCAGTGGGAATCAGAGGAGAGGGGGGAATTGATGATGGATCACGGTGTCACTGTGTCACTGTCTCATGGGATGGCGAGCTGGGCGGAGTCCTGGAGATTCCATGTTGCACCTGCGGTGGACATTTTTTCTGGTTGATGTTGCGTTGTTTGCTCTTCTCGGAAGCCATGATTTCGATGCTCACCGGAATCGTGGGATTCTGACCCCGAGAGACCCTCATTCATGCCGGATACGGTTGGACAATACCGAAAAAAAAAAAAAAAGAATACACATACCACAGTGGAAAAGAGTGTAAAAAGCAAGAATACCACCAAAATTCGTATATGCCGCTAAAAGGTAAAAAAGAACATTACCTATCCGTACAGGCAGTGCAAGAAAGAATCTGGGCAGGGTCAGGTTCGAATTATTAGCAAGGACCACGCATGTGCGGCAAAGATGGTGTAATTTGGCATTTCTTGCAGAACTCGAACGCCACCATCGTCAGTAACACAACCCATTTGCCGGGCCCGTCGTCGCACATCCGTTTCTCACAAGCCGACGCACGCATTGTGCCACCAATGGGTTAGGGCCGACGGCAGAGAAATAGTGTACTTTGTAGACCATGCCGCGTCTGTTTGTGTGGCTTGAACCTCTTCCCGCCCGCCTCCCTTGGCATTAAAGATCTTCCCTTCGGCTGTTGCTTCTCGAACGTCTAGCAAGAACCAGCATTCGACGCCGAGCCGAACACGAATGGTGGGATTTTAATTGGAACCGAGTGTCCCTGGAGCAAGGATGACCTTGGACTTCTGGCTTTGAAGCTCTAGCTTGAACTCTACAGCCCAACTTGGCTCCCCCTCGTGACCATTCTGAAATCTGGAGAGAGGGTCTAGCAAAAATAAAAATAATAAAATAATAAAATTCATGGACCTATTTCAAGAACGATTTCGAAACGAAAACAGCGGAAAGTTTGCCTCACGCGGCAAACGACAGCTCTCTACCCTTTCCTGCCGCGGCGCCGACGACCGAATGAACATGGGACAACTTTCTTTGATAAGGGGGGGCCTCCGTCGTGGCTTGGGAGAAGGTCTCCGCCGAAGAGCATGAGCATTGGGGAGTCGGTGGACCTGGATCTACCTGGACTGTGGACATGAGACGACATGTCACGGGGGTGTGGGCGCGACGAGAACGATGAGTAGTGAGAGAGCTGGCCTTCTCTCCATTGTTCTCGAACATCTTCGTCTCATATCGTTAGGGCAAGGAGACAGGCGGGAGAGGACGAAAAAGAAAGGGGTTGACTCTCAGCTGAAGGCTGGAGCTCCAGTTCTTCCAGCGAGGGGCCCGGAAAGGGGAGAAAAGGCATATCATCAGAAGACGTCTGTTAACAAGTTCGGGAACAAGAGAGCCGTGTCCCGCGGACCAATTCTAAACCCCGACAATCACGCCAGCCAAAAACCCCAACAGAGTTCAAATAAAAGCCCACCGCCGAGGTGACTTCAAAACGGAAAGGGTTACACCAATGAGTTACAACAGAGGCCTGCTGCGTTGCGTAGACATATTGACAATGACATTGACAACCTGGAAGCGAGAACGTCCAGAAGGACGCAAGAAAAAGGTTAAAGGAAACTCTAAAGGAGCCCCAATCTCCTTTTACGACAAGTTTACACGAGAAGGGCCAGAACAGAAGAGAAGGAAGGGCCTGGGCAAGCAAGCCCGGAGATGCCCAGTAAGGCAGAGATATTCGCGAACCACACCCCGGAGTCTCGGCAGGACCTCGCCACAAGTTACTGAAACGAGAGGAGGAAAGATTTCCAAAACAACAAGGCTCATACATAGAAGTACGCTAGTAAAGAGAAAATTAAAAGTGGTGGCCGCATCGAATTTCTCGCCGGCGTCCACTTCAAATGTCGCCAAAGTAGCGAATCCTCGACCGCCGACTGGTCGAGAAGCCTGAAGCGACTTTCAAGCGAGAAAGCGACGTGGGTGGTGGTGGTGGTGGTGGTGGTTTCTTCAAGGGGAAAGGCCTTTAATTTAGTTCCCAGGTGTTTGGGGTGGGCAAAGGGACGGGTGTGTGTGTGGTTGCAACTCTGCCCACGTCAACGTTTTGAACTCGACTTTCCAAATCCGAACCGGCGCCTCATCCCGGCCTACCTTAGCTAGCCCCCAGCCCACTTCCCGTTCGCTCGGTGTCGCGCCACGTTTTCCCGGCGCACACATGGCCCCGAGCTTGGGCTTACCATTATGTTTGCGAGCCACTGAGCTTCCGGATGACATTGAGCTCATGTCCGTGGTGTTACACCTGGTTCGCGAGGCTAGCTTTCTAGCTTCCAGAGCTGGAGGTGGTGCCAAGTGTCAGAATGCCAATTTTCCCCAAGGCAGAGGAGAAACGGACGCCTCGGCTCGGACGGTTCGTCGCGGATAGTAGGGAAATGCCCAGCTCCCCGGAGCTGACGGGTATGGCTTCCGCGAGGGCTGGGCTGGGCTGGGCTGTGCTGTTCGCCTTGTCCTATATCACGAAACGATGATGGCTTCGAACATCATTTTTAGTTTGCACTTGTATCTCATCTCTTGCATTTTCTCGAGCTATCCAGCAGGGCCGCGGTCCTGGCCGCGATCGCCCGCGGAACACCCGCTCCGGCTTCATTCCGGACGTACGAAGTATATGCTAGGTGGTCGTGGCGGATGGTAATATCAGGGTATCATTCGTAATCGCGCCAGCCTCGACCGTCCATGCCGAGCTATCTCTCTCCCCCCCTTGTTTGTTTTCCATGTGTGTATGTGCGTAGAGCTTGCAGCTTGGCAGCTTGAAGAGGGTTTCTCGGTTTCCCTTTCCTGCGTATTGTGTAAATACGATAGTCTTGGGGCCGACCAATGAGCATGCCAGTCCTGGCCCTCTACCCTTCGGCTTGGCAAATGCAAATCCTCCTGAAGGACGTCCGCTCGGTGAAGCCAATGAGGATAAAATAAGTCCGTGAAACGCTGACCGATGCCAAAATCGTGAGTCAGACCTTGAGATTCTTCAAGCCGGCGGTGTGTCATGTACCACGATGAGTAGGTACTTCGGATCCGGTACGATGACCAGCTCCTGTTTCTTCGTTCGTAGTCTCAGTAGCTTCAGCTCATCCTGTTCCCGATGGTCAGTCCCGGCACTCCGTTCAGGGGTAAAGATTCGCTCCGCAGTCTGCCTGCGGAACCGGATCCCTCTTCTTACCTCGGTATCTAGATCTAACACCAGGGTGCCCGACGCATTCACCCAGTTCCAGACCTTTGCGGCAAAGTCCTCCAGGCCCTGCGGTTGCTCCTCGCCGTTCTGCTGCTGCTGCGCGGCGGCGCCCTCGCCCGAGAAGGAGCCTCCTCCGGAAGTCTGTAGCGTTGCTGCGTTGAAAGACGACAGCTGACCGCTCGTTCGTAGTATCGCGCCCGTGATTCGGTCGAGGATGACGGTCGCCTTAACGCCAGGTTTGTTCGAGAGGCGCTTGAGGGTCTCGTCCAGCGCGTCGGGTCCGTTGGTCTGCGAAAGGGGGGACACATTCTTTGTTTAGCTATGACGCCATCGCTGAAGAGAAGGAGGGGTCGAGGTCGCTCACGGGTGTTGTGTCGGTCATGGTTGAAAGACGGGGAGGTGAACAAGCGAGAGACAGGTACGGGCGATGCTTTGCCTGGGGGCGTCCCAAATTGCAGTAGGACTTGAATAAAATCGAGGTTTCGTTGGATCGTGGAAACAAATGAATGTCCCCGAAAGCTGGGTCGGGTCTCGTCTGTAAGGCTGGGTTAGGAGCTAAGGTGCCCAATAACTAGTTGGAGCTAGGATTCACCGGGTAACAGCGTCTCAACGTCGTGGTGGGGCTGAGTTGCGAGTGGAGGGGACCTGGAGCTCGACCGGATTCTGCCGCACCTGACCGCCGAAAAGTTCTGGCTCCAGACTTTGCAGGGGTCTCAACCTTCAATGCGCCAGCCATCTCATGTGAAAAGTGACCAAGGACTCAACGCTCAATACTCGCAAAATACTGTAAAAAATTCGACAACACGTTCATAAGATTCGCGGATACCCCAAATCAACTCTGAGCCAGAATATCCGACAAATAAGACATCATGGGTTCCAGCAACAGAAAGAAGAAGGAAAAGGCCAAGGACTTTGCGGTATGAATATCTCAGCGAGACATGTGAACCGCATCGCTGTCTCTCATGAGACCTCGCATCAATACTGACATGTTCTCATAGAAACCAAAGTTCAAGGTCGGAAAGGCCAAGGTCAAGCCTACCAACTTCACAGACACTAGTTTCAAGGCAAAGTCCATTGCCATGGGCCATCAGAAGCTCTCGACTGAAGCCCCTGACAACGCAACCCAATTCAAGCACAACCTCTCATTAGCCTCAACATCAAGAGCAGACAAACAGCGCAAAGAGTCCCTGGCTCATCTGACAAGCCAGGTGCTGGCAGACAACAACCCGGTCGGAACCGCAACAGTGCTGAGCAAGCTTCTGCCTCTGATCTCGGACGCCTCAGGACCCGTCCGCAGCCAGCTGCTGAAGCTGTTCCGGGCCCTGCCCGAGGCGGAGGTCAAACACCACGCCGAGAAGTGCATCATGTACACCAGAGCAGGAATGACACACCTTTCCGCCGACATCAGCAACGATTCGCTCTCCGTTCTCGAGTGGCTCCTGGATGTCGCGGAAGATGAGACCGTCAGCTGCCCGGGCGGTTGGGTGAAGACACTCAACAGTTTCTGCGCGTTGATGGGCTGGACTGTGAAAACGAGCTCGGGGTGGTCGACCGCGCCAAAGACGGGCCTCCGCACAAAGGACGCGCAGTCGCACGCGGGACAGGTCGCCGTGCTGGCTAGGTTCCTGCAGGCGGGACTCAAGCCCGAGGTTGCGACGCAAAAGAACCCCAACGCCTATGCGGACAATATGTACCGAGTGCCCCGGACGCCGAACCCATTTGCGTACCTCAACCTGTTCGGGACCCGTCGGGACGAGGAAGCAGAGATGTATAATGATCGCGAGTCACGGCAACGGGTGTTCCATAGGAGGTTCCTGGATTCGTTCCAAAAAGGCGTAGAGCAGTCGAAGAAGGAGGGCGGTACCATCGGTCGATCGGCCGTTGCATTGAATCATGCCTTGACCGAGGGTATGAGTGGATATGAGGCGACGTCTGCTGTTGAGCCTCAAGATCTCCTTGATTTGTGGTGAAGGATACGCCCCTCCCCTCCAAATTTCAAATCATCCGCAACCTCTGGCGGTCTTAGAAACCCGCCCGACAAGATCGCCTGCCCAAATCAACCTCTCCTCCGCAGTATTGTAGGTCCCGGTCAGATGGCACTGATTTCGCCGCTGAGGCTAGGTGCCTGAAGCTAGGTGCCCGGGCAACTACGTCTTGCCTGTCGGAGCAAAGTGATGCCCGGAGGGTTTCTTGGGATATGGAAAGATGCAATGCTTCACCGCGAGAAGGCTATACGTTTGGCTGGTTGGAATTGGCGGACGAAGTGAAGTTCCATTCAAGCCGCTCAGTAACGTCCAAGAGCGTCGCCATCCGCTACCTCATATTATGTAGCATTCATAGATGGATATATTAATGATACCCATCTCACCTCGGTGAGACCCCTGTTGTCCAAAATCTTCAATTACTCCGAAATCAGAGGCTCAGGGACATCTCTTTGGTGCATAACTATCCTTTGGTGTCATATAGCGAGCCTCCAAAGCTGAAAAGTCTTGAACTGCCTTCGTCTAGCTTCATCTCTGGCACCAAGCTGCTATCAATCGGCATCTTACATGTTTCAATTTGTTGGCGAAATGCTCCGCTTAGAATCATCAAAGTCGACTCAGACACCAAGGTGACATACGTAGAATACTCTGTATCTTCAAAAGTCCATCGTCTTTCTTTGTTCTTAAGATCACCTATGTATTCTTCAGCCTCTACCCATATTACTTGCCTTTCTTTTCGTCTTCTTTCTTGCTGCAGGCAGCTAATCTGAATAACCTTACCAAGGCAACAAGACAACGTGATGATAGATGAGCAATGTCAAAGAAGGCAACTCTTCGTCTGGCCTTGTCTCTCTCGTCCGAAGCCTCGATGAGATTTCGTCTAGTGTTTTCAAGTTCCGATTGAGCCTTCTGAGATGAGGCAGAATGTGAAGCCCCGAGGGACACTCTCCCGCCTGATGTGAGGGCCTCACGGGGCAGTCACACTTCAACCCTCATCCCCGCTTAGTCGTCCGACCTGCCTGCCTCCTTCATCGTGTCTTCCTTCTTCTGAGAGCGGTGCCTGCCCTCTGCCTCCGGCCCTTTTTGCCCTCTGCGGAACAACCTACCGCCTTCGAGCCTTCCAGCGAGCGCCCTCCCACTACGAATATTTGTATCCCACCTGCTGCTGCTCAACTTCTTCCCTTTTCTCTTTTCTCTTCCACACCCATCACAGATCGTCGAGAAAGGATCCCCAACAGGAGATCAGTTTTTGACTTCAGTTTTCGTTTGCGAGGTAAGTACTTTCCATTTTATTTGATCTGCTCTCCCATTATCCCCATTTCCATTCCGGTCCTTCCCTACTACCTATCAACCCATCGTCGGAGTGTGCGTATTTTCGCAAACCTTTGCTCGCGGGCCCTTCATCTGAACATCATCAGCTTCAGCTTTGGTGAACACAAATTTGTTGGCTTCCAATCCCTGAATTTTCTTCACTTTGCAATCAAATTCGCCTCATTCCCTTCCAGCCCTGATCTCAGTCTACTTCTTCCATCGGAAATACTGCAATGCAAGGTTTTCGAGGATATCCCTTCTTCAAAGATCCTGCCAGATTTCATCTCGGAAAATTGACAGACCTCTGATCTCCCCCTTCCGGCTGGAACCACGTCAACCATTCTCGGATCTCGGTGGCTTCCATTTCCTTCTCTCGTACACATCTTCGTTTCCTTCCTCTTCCTTCGCGCTGTACTAACTCAACGGAAAACCCCAGCTCCAAGGTTCTCGCCCCGTGTAGTCTTCCCTGCAATTATCGCAACATTCTTCAATCAAGCAAATCAAGGTAAGCACCACGAACCGCTGGCCATCGATTGATCCAGAAGCTAATCAACATGAGCAGACTTTCTCCCGCCAAGATGTCTGCCTTCGACACTGCCGACATGCAGTCGGCTCTTCCTGCCGATGGCAAGAAGGCCCCTGCCGCTGCTGTCAACAGCGATGGTACCAAGTGGGCGGAGCCTCTGCCCTACAATTACGACGAGCTTGCCCAGCAGGGCCCCGAGGTCCCGACTGAGTGGGCTGGCAACGGTGCCGTCTACGAGTGGGATAAGGACTTTGGCGATGTTGGTCCCAAGTTCCCCGAGCTCGAGAAGGATCTCTTCGGTGATTCCAACTCTAACCTTGCCTCCAACTCTGGCCTCGACTTCTCCGTGTAGGTTTCCTCCTTGCAATTGATCGAACGAGACTGACAGCTTCTAGCATCTCTTCTGTCGAGGTTACCCAGGAGGGCGAGATCCGCGTCGAGCCGGTTCACTCCTACAAGGACGCCGGCTTGCACCCTGTCATGGAAGACAACATCAAGCTTTGCGGCTACGAGGCTCCTACCCCCATCCAGAAGTTCACTCTTCCCGCCATTCACAAGGGTCTCGATGTTGTGGCTATCGCTCAGACCGGTAAGCATCCCTTTGTTCGCATATTGCTCAACGTTACTAAAGTACTTGAATAGGCTCCGGCAAGACCGCTGCTTACCTCATTCCCATCTTGAACAAGCTCATGGGCAAGGCCAAGAAGCTTGCTGCCCCTCGCCCCAACCCCTCCGAGATTGCTCTTGGACAGCAGTGGGTTCGTGCTGAGCCTCTGGTGGTTGTCGTCTGTCCCACTCGCGAGTTGGCCATTCAAATCTTCAACGAGGCCCGCAAGTTCTGTTATAGAACCATGCTTCGCCCGTGTGTCGCCTACGGTGGTGGTCCCTTGAGAGACCAGATTCAGCAGCTCGGAAAGGGCTGTGATGTTCTTATCGCCTCCCCCGGTCGCCTTGTCGATTTCATCCAGCGGCCTGATGTTCTCTCGCTCAGGCGCTTGAGATACTTGGTCTTTGACGAGGCCGATGAGATGCTTCACGATGACTGGCGCGAGGAGATGGATGTCATCATGACTGGTGGTGGTAAGTTCTGCTCTTTTCCTGTCCGTGTCTCGAATTTCCACTAAAGCTTTCTTCAGAACAGCAGGAGGGAAATATCAAGTACATGCTGTTCTCGGCCACCTTCCCCAAGCCGCTCCGCGATCTCGCGAAGGAGAACTTGTCTTCTTCTAGCGTCCGTATCAACATCGGCCGCATTGGAAGCACCCACACCAACATTCTCCAGCGCGTCTTCAAGTATGAGTCTTTCGAGAAGAAGGAGGCTCTCAAGGATCAGATCAACTCTCTTCCTGCCTGCCGCACCATCATCTTCGTCAACCAGAAGCGTACTTGCGATGACTTGGATGACTTCTTGTTCAACCTTGGCTTCCCGTGCACTTCGATGCATGCTGACCGTACTCAGCTTGAGCGTGAGGCTTCCATGCGCGCTTTCCGTGCTGGAAAGTCTCCCATCCTTATTGCCACTGGCATCAGCGCTCGCGGCATTGACGTGAAGAATGTCAACCACGTCATCAACTTCGACCTGCCCAGCTTGGATCACGGTGGCATTGAGGAGTACACCCACAGAATCGGTAAGCATAGCTATTGGCACCTATTACTTTCTCTTACAGGTTTTCTTTGATCTGCGTATCCAAATGCCCCCTTGTTATTCTCTCGTGGTTTTACATCTTACTAACGCAACATCAGGCCGCACTGGTCGTATGGGTCAGCGTGGCATTGCCACTTCCTTCTACACCGACCGCGATGAGCCCATGGCTAGCGTTCTTGTCCGCACCCTCTTGGAGACCAAGCAGGAGGTCCCTGACTTCCTCGAGCCTTTCAAGCCCACTGGTAAGGGCTTGGAGAACCTGAAGTTCGAGACCGAGAGCGACTTCGACCCTGAGGAGGCCGGCATTGCTCATCTGGGTGGTGAGGGCGGCGGCTGGTCCAACGAGGGCGGCGGCGGTGATGGTGCCTGGGGCGCTACTGGAGGCGACTCTGGAGGCAACTCTGCCTGGGGTGGCGGCGGCGACTCTGCCGGCAACGAGACCAAGCAGGAGGAGCCCGAGGCCGCTCCCGCTTCGGGCGCTTCTTCTGGCGGTGGTGGTTCTTGGTAATTAGATACTACCTTCTGCATTTCCAGAGGCAAAGTTTGGGTTCTTTGCGGGATATGTCAACCATAGAGGGGATAGATGAGAGAAGTTGGGGCGGTCTATTCGGAATGCTTTGATGGAGTTTGCCAGAATGGAATAGGATCGCAGCTAATGAATCATATATCTCTTGATACTCATCCTCGCGTCTCCATTCTATTGACATCGTCCTTGGGATCCCACTTTTGTCGTGCCTGTTGCTACAAACTCAAGTCCTCGGCTGGAAAATAGTCATCAGGAGAGAACAAGTCGACCCTGTTTGTCAAGTTCCCTGATCTAATAATGACTCCTTTTGAATCAAACTTCGTTTCTCTTGGGAAACTAGTAACGCGATAGGAAAGATGCTGAGCGTGATTGAGAGTCTAACTGCTTTTGATTAATTTGGTATCTATGCCTATAACCCGTCACTTTCCCTTCCTCCAATATTATCATTACACAAGATACAGCTGGCTAAGGTGGCTGAACCCCCCGCTCTTCGTCGTTCAATGTTCATGAGTACAATTAAGATGATCAAGCATTCTTCATAATGTCAAGAATGCCCTTGAACTTGCCCACCAGACTCTGCGCGTAACCCACGCCCACGACACCTCTAGTGAATCGCCAGCTGCGCTCCTGGTCCGGGACGGGATACTTGACGGGTGTGGGGATGGCAGTGCGGACGCCCAACCAGCCGAAGCGGTCGACGCAGATGCTTTTGATGTTGCAGAGGCCTCTGAGTCCTTCCTCGCCTGCGAACCGGCCGTAGCCCGACCCGCCGACGCCACCGAAGGGGAGCTGAACGGCGTAGGTTGCGCCAAAGTCATTGATGGCTACCATGCCGGTGTTGAGACCATCGACGACAGCGCCGAGGATAGGGTCGTTATCGCCGCCGAAGATGGAAGCACCGAGCCCGAATTCTGGAGCGTTGGCCACCGACAGAACAGAGTCTGCGTCGGGGCCGGGGGCGCGCATGATGGTCATGATGGGACCGAAGCACTCTTCGTTGGCGATCTCCATTTCAGGAGTAACGTCGACGAGGAGAGTTGGGACAAAGTAGTGGCCCTTGGGGTGTTCTGGATGAATGTACCATTTGCCACCGGCCAGTAAGCGGGCTCCTTGCTTGACAGCCTTGTCGACGAGGGACTCGAGGCGGTCAAACGCGGCATCGGAGATCATGGCACCAACGTCTGCGGTCGGTCCCAGGCGAAGACTCTGGACCTTTGGCGCCAGGGTGGCCACGAGCTGATCGTAAAGCTTTGGCGTAGCAATAATGCGCTCAATACCTATGCAGTTTTGTCCGGAAGCTTGGAATGTACCGCGCATGAGGATCTCAACAATACGCTTCAAATCCTTGGCGGCGGAGTCAAGGACGATGGAGGGATCCTTGCCGCCTAGTTCCGCGATCAG